TTTTCTCAGTGTGGTTTTCACTTTGAGTGCACAGTGGGCCAGAAGACCGGTGGAGGCGGCCAAAATTCTAAACGCATTTGGAGCTCCTGAGTCGCTAGAACTCGAAATCCAAAGGTGGGGTCACGCTCGGTCCGAGTCCCGTTGAGCATATCCGGAGCTAAAAACGCGTCTGAAATTCTGGCCGCCCCCACCGGTCTTCTGGCTAGTCCACCGCGCGGTGCCCACCTGGTCGTAGGTGGCTTGCGGCATGCCGGCCCGGCGCTGGAACTCGGTGACGATGACTCCCGGGTTGACGCAGTTGACGCGCACGCCTCTGGGGCCGAGCTCCACCGCCATGTTGCGGCTCAGGTGGTCCACGGCCGCCTTGCTCGTGCCGTACGCCAGCGTGCCCCGAATCTGCGGCGTGCCGAGGCATGGTCACTCGCAAAATTACGAATCACACTCCCGGCACGGTACTGACTTTTCCCTCATTAATTACGTATTCGTATAAGCATTTATAACACTTAGTATTTTCTTGGTAGGTACGACTAATTTCCTTTGTAAAATTATTTACGAAACCTAATTGTCAGTACATTATTTAATATTTCCGAGGTAGTTCTTTAAAAAAGTAAAAGTACATGTTATGGTTGCACAAATTACTTGCGTAAGTACTAACAAAATGAGGAAAAAGTCAGTAACGTGATGAGAGTGCAGTACCAACAAGCATCATGTTTGCTTGGTCGCCCGAAAGATACAGTCGCTACAAATGGATAGGTTGTTTTTTAGTGCAGTAGCAATGCACAAGCCATGCTCAAATAAGTACGGAGTAATTGAGTGAATCAATTTCATCAGAAACCCGTTATCGAGGGGGTAAACTCTCGCGTAATACCTTCTACAAAAAAATACGATTTCAAGAAATCCTAGGAGTCACGAAGTCAGTTTGATTATTGTGTAAGAGTGTGGAGAAAGAAAAGAAAAGGTTTTGTGAAGTTGTGGCTCACACTGTTAAAAAATGGTTGTATAGAAACAATCAGATGAGTGAAAATTTAGTCGTTCCAAAACAAAGAATTTTATCATGAACCAAAGCTAAAGAAATGTCTTTGAATCTTGTAAGCGACAATTTGTCGTTGAAGAACAAAATTCTTGTTATCACCCTTAACAATACTATTTGTATGGAAACAAAATCTTTTGCAATTATCTGCTCAATTAAAGCAAATTATGAATAATCATCTATTGGTCTTCTTTAGTCATAGCGACATTACTATTATTAAAAAAAGAACTAGGCAAATTAAATTTAGCGACGAAAGTACTTCATGAATACTTGTCCCAGACATTACAAAATCTTTTTCGACTTACATCACTTGTCGTTGACCAACAACATTTGGGACATTCCACGTGAATCCAACGACGGTTTGGAATCGAGGTCCTCGGATTTCGACCTAAGTGGTATCAATCGATTCGGTATCGGCCCCTGACTCACCATGTAAATTTTTTTTGAAAAAATTTTGAACGGTTTAGTTTTTGCACCAGTTTTATGGTTTTATAAGTTTAAAATTAGTAAAAACAAAATTTTTTTTTCAAAATTTTTTGTAGGTGTTCTTGAGGGTTTAGGAATGTGGGAAAAGCATTAAAAGTTGTTTGAGAACCATCTGGGAGGTTTTAAGGGTAGTGAAAATGGTGAATTTTGGTGAAAATTTGACAAATTTCACCGTTCTGAAAATACGTCATCATGGATTTTGGCCAAACTTTTTTTTTCTTTTCCTCTACTATTGGTGCATACTCCCTTAAGAGGGTTTGGATGGCCCGCCACAAATTTTTCTTCTGGAGCCTATAACATGTCTAATTGCGGCATATTTTTCCCTTTAATTGACTGTTTTTTTGTCGTTTCTCTCGTACGCTTACTTGGTCGACCATGCAGATCACTCAAAGTAAGGATATCAGGGCCCAACACAACTCCTGATAGCTAGCTCTTCTAATTGCAGACTTTTAGGGACCCATGCAATCATTATCATAGATACTTTAAACAAATTTATTTTATTTTATTTTGAGCACATTTTCACTCATAGATCTCGACTAACCTGAGACATGGAGTTTTGAAGTGGACAAAAGTTTAGCGACAACTCACTATTTAAGGATGGCAAGATTCAGAAATTCTTAATGGAAAGAGTAATCAAGTTGAAACATGTGCTGTACTACATAAAGTCCACTTCGAAACTCCATGTCTCAGGTTAGTCGAGATCTGAGTGAAAATGTCCTCAAAATAAAATAAATTTGTGTAAAGTAACTAAAATAATGGTTGCATGGGTCCCTAAAAGCCTGCATATAGAAGAGCTAGCTATCAGGAGTTGTGTTGGGCCCTGATATCCTTACTTTGAGTGATCTGCATGGTCGACCAAGTAAGCGTACGAGAGAAACGACAAAAAAACAGTCAATTAAAGGGAAAAATATGCCGCAATTAGACATGTTATAGGCTCCAGAAGAAAAATTTGTGGCGGGCCATCCAAACCCTCTTAAGGGAGTATGCACCAATAGTAGAGGAAAAGAAAAAAAAAGTTTGGCCAAAATCCATGATGACGTATTTTCAGAACGGTGAAATTTGTCAAATTTTCACCAAAATTCACCATTTTCACTACCCTTAAAACCTCCCAGATGGTTCTCAAACAACTTTTAATGCTTTTCCCACATTCCTAAACCCTCAAGAACACCTACAAAAAATTTTGAAAAAAAATTTTTCTTTTTACTAATTTTAAACTTATAAAACCATAAAACTGGTGCAAAAACTAAACCGTTCAAAATTTTTTCAAAAAAATTTACATGGTGAGTCAGGGGCCGATACCGAATCGATTGATACCACTTAGGTCGAAATCCGAGGACCTCGATTCCAAACCGTCGTTGGATTCACGTGGAATGTCCCATTTGTTGTTGGTCAACGACTTGTATTTGAAAGTAGACTGCTAATGTGTTATTACAAGTTAGTCGTTGTGAAATTATCCTTTAGTTCCAGTACGAGTTTGGTTTAACAAGCTATTCGTTCCACAACGAATCTTGTCGCTAAAAAAATTAGCGACAAATGTGTCGCTAAGTTACGACAAAATTTTTGTCAGTGCAGGGGACTACCAATGGCAGTGGTACCAATGTGGTCGATGTGCCACCCGTCAAAATTTAAACTTGACAATAGAAATCAAAATGCTGGTAAATTCAAAAAATTCCAATGCTAATGTATTCCACAGTGTTCTGACAATGGAACATCTTTAAAGTCCATCATTATTAAAATGTTCTTGGCAGAAAGAAGGCAGCAAATTAATTTTCACAGGTTGGCAACTAGTTGCTCGGCGTCTGCGCCCTTGCGAAAATCGCGAAGCTGAAAGCACCAGCAGTCGCGCATTAAAACTGCCCCTCCATTGTTGCTGACGTTGAATTGTTTGGCTTGTTTCAAAAGGCTATGGTTCTCTAGTCATGTTTTCTTCAATTCTGTGTAATAGTTCTCCCTTACAACGTATCAACACCACGACGGTTGGTTTGACAAACTTCATAAACTCGGGAGGGATGGTTTCGAAACGCGGGTGAGTCTTGTTCGAGGAACATGAGCACTGCAAGTCGCGAGGTGGAGCGAAGTGGTCCTAGTGCTAACTGAATCACAACAACAACAAAATTGTTTTATTGACAGAAAAAAAAGGAATATTTGAGAAACTATATGTCAGAAAAAAAGAACTTTTGTTTTGCTAATTTTCTGTGAATATTTTTTTAGAAAGTCATCACACAAAAATTGAAAATTTGTTTTATATGAATTGTCATAAGCAGGAAACAAAGAAAAAACAAGAAAGAGAGCAAAATTAATACAGATTTCAAATGCTACAGTTGGCTAAACTGTTAAACAGGTTGCAAACCTACTGCGCATGTCCAAAAACACTCCAATCAAGAAGTATTATTGGATGGTTCTACCCGAAAAACTGCGTTCGAACCGACACCAATTCTATTGTTGCATCTTGTCTACCTGCAGTCAAAGAAATTTTTCATTTCGAACGTGCTGATTTCTGCTTTTGGAGTAAGCTGTACAGACCCAGAAAGAAGCTCGGCTATTGGTCCGCCCCGGCTCGGCTCCCCCCACTCCCTTTTTTAGGGGTTCCCAAGAACCCCTATTGTCCGAGGTCCGTGGATTCTTCCCCCCCCCCTCTCCGATTTTCAAATAAACAACACTAAACTATTTCAACCATGAAAAAAACGAAAATTCCAATTTTTTTCGAAAATTCATCGTGGAAATTTTCCGTAAACGCGAAAAACATAAATTTGCAACAATCGAAAACGAGAACCGTTAATGATATGAAAAAATGGTTCAAATAAAAAATGTGCCACTCCTCAAAATAAAACCTCCTGGCTCATCCAAGTAACAAGAAATCGTATATGTTCTGAGCAAATGGTCAAAACATGAAAAAAAATCTCCATGGCAACGGCATGGTCCCATCGTACCACCCGTCAAAATTTAAAGTCGCCCATTAAAAAAAAATCTAAACGCCGTGAAATTCGAAAATGCTAATGCTAACACATTGCACGGTGTCTCAACGTTGGAACATCTTTAAAGTCTGTCACTACTAAAAAGTTCGTTGCAGAAACGACGCATCAAATTAATTTTCGTGGGTTGGCACCAATATGCTTGCCGTCTGCGCCCTTTCGAAAATCGCGAGGCTGAAAGAACGAACAGGCGCCCACTGAAACTGCCCCTCCATTGTTGCTGAGGTTGGATTGTTTGGCATGCTCTCAAAGGCTGCGGTTGTCTTGTCATGTTTTCCTCGATTTTCAACCAATTATGGAAACGGGAACACCGTGCAATGCGATTAGCATTGGAATTTTTTTCCTTTGACGAGTCGAGTTTTGCCATGGAAACGGCGATTTTGACAGCAAATTTCTCAAAATTGGCCACCAACTTTTTAACCAGATTTCAGCATGAGAATCAGCGTTCAAAGTTCTACAAGTCTGCAAAGTCTCATTAAAATCGTATAGAAAATTTCCGAAATGCATAAAGGGCCACACAAATTGAATCTCGGGCCGGCTGAATCCTGGGTATACTATAAGGCTACTTCGTGCCTAAAAAAGGTGTACTACGCGTAACACACGTAATTGTAAGACTAGTTTTGGGCCAAATGTGCCAAATTTTGGCATTTAAATGCTGTAATACACGAGTAACATCCCCGTGATACCGGGTACTCTGTACACGATTTCTTGGGGCGACTACCCCCTCGCCCACAATTAGCACTGGTCCACTGGACTGGCCCTCTACTACAAAAAATGGCAAACTCTTTCAGTTTTGAAGTTCACACTCTCATTCCAGGAACGTGACATCAAGTTCAAAAGAACGTGACAAAATGTCACCATCGTTTGATCATTGTGTCACACTCATTTGGATGTGAACAAGCTGATTTAAGGCCGATTCACACCCAAACGTATGTGACACAATACTCAAACGAACGCAACATTTTGTCTCGTTCATTTCAGCGTTCCTGGAAAGAGTGTTCGTTCGGTAGTATCAAGGTGTTCGGGTTGAAGCACAGAATTCGAAAACTGCGAAAAAACACGAATGCAAAACAGCGTTCCCATTATTTAAACGGCCTGTCATGACTGCGTGGATCAAACGTATACATATCAAACGTGTTATAACAAGATCTTTTCTTAATTAGGAATAATCTGGAATGTCCTGGAAAGTGCGCCCCTTAGCTTTCCCTTTTCAAAATAGACTTATGCAGGTAATTTTTATCGCAACAAGTTTTTCAAAGATTCGCGAGATTTTTCTTCGAACAGAGTTTTTGAGGGTGGTGCGACTTACGGGCGTGGTGGCTGCGACACTGGAAACATTGACAACGTTTCCCTTGGAGGCCTCCAAGTGGGGCAGGGCAAACTTCGTCAGCTGGAAGACGGAACGGACGTTGACGTGGAACTGCCGGTCGAATTCCTCCACGGGCATCGAGTCCGTCGTCCCCACAATCTCGATGGCAGCGTTGTTGACCTGGAGGAAATTGCAAATGGTGACGTCATGCGAAACATGAGAATGGAGGAGGAGTCTGCGACAAGTGTAGGTCAATCAACGAAGCGACGGTTGAAAGACGAGTTCAATCGTACGCCGCACAGATTTTGGGGGAAGCCAAAGACCCACATTGGGTGAAAATGGAAAGAGGATCTCATGAGATCCTCTTTCGTACTACAGGCTCAGTTCAACTTAATCTGGAACTTTTTGTTCAAGCTACAAATTTAATGCAAAATTTTTGTCACACTTGAGGGCGTAAACCTACGCCTTTTACCCAAGATCTTCCAATCTTTCGAAAAGGCAACAATTAATGGTTAATGCCAACAAGGACCAAATGTTTGCCCAAAGGGCTTCATTTCAATGTCTTTGAGTTACGAGGCTAGACACGCGTTTGAGCAAATCAAGTGGAAGCCTTACCAGAACGTCAATGCGTCCGAAACTCTCCGATGCCGTTTTGACAATCCGCTTGCAGTCTTCGGTGTCCTCGACCGAGCCGATGACGCTGACGACCTGAGGATCAAGGAGGACACATTCTGCACTGCAAATACAAAACGAAATGGAAGAAAATAGAAACTAAGGCACGACACTAAAAAAATCCCACGACCTACATTAGTACCTAGTTTTTTTTTTCAGAGCGTACAATTTGCAAAAAAAATTGATCATGTGCGGTATTGCATAAATTCACGCGCAACAGGGTACTGTACACTTCCGTGCTTAGTTACGCTGAATTTCGTGCATTTTCAAACTCCTGCACAATTTGGTGCAAGGCTTATCAGCGCCAAAAAAAAACCTGCATACTAATTTTCTAGAAGCATTCTCCAGGATTGTACAGTACTAGAAACTATCTTACAAACTATGTTCTTTGCACTGCGTACTTTAATTTGCAACTTGAAAAGAAAATCTAATCTGAAAACCCTACAAACCATTAACGCCCTTCCAAAGAAACGTGGCTTGTAATAACAAACTTGAGTATTTTTAGCAGACATACATATTTCATAATTTATGAGCAATTTCGTTGTACACCCTCAGATTCTTACGATGAAAGGGCCATTGTAACGTACGTTTAAATGAGAACATACGTACTACAATAAAATTCATGCGTAATACGATGAAAAATTAAGCATATTACGTAGGTGCAAATTTATGCGTACCTTACGATGAAAAACCATCGTAATACGTATAAAAACGATCATAAGATGTTGAGTGTGTATAACAAACTCAATTTGTTTGTGTTACGTATGCTCAAAATACTTCGTAAGGTTCTACGCGTCGCTAACCATATCCCCGAAACGTTATACGAACTCCGCGACGAACTTTCTTCTCAATGCGAAGATAAAAATTCTAAAGCATGTTCGTAATATGACGAATCCGAGAAGTACTTTCCTCTCCGAGTTTTCAAGAGTGCGAAACATGCCCCTAAGGAGATGAAAACCTCGCACTGAGAAAACCTTACAAACTATTTTGGGCCTTACAAAGAAAAGTAGTATGCATAACAAAGTATTTTGAGCATACGTAAGCTTACAAAGAAAATACTTCGTAATTTACGAACTATTTCTTCGTATAACAAAGTATTTTACTTTGTTATACGTATGCTCAAAATACTTCGTAAGGTTCTAAGAGTGCGCGAGCGTTTTACCTCGTTCTCCTTCAAGCCAGCGGCGACGCACTCCGACCGGACTTTGGAGAGGTTCGCCTCGTTCCTGCCGTTGAGGACGAGTCGGCAGCCTTGCTTGGCCAGGTACACTGCCGCGCCGGCTCCAATGCCCGAACTGGCGCCTGGTGGACAAGAGAGGCACTGTCATCGTTCACTCGTGCCACAACGTCTTCCGTCTCTCGCAATCACTGGCAGTCCGTCGGGAGCAACAAGGACAGAGCTGTGGGAAAACGTGACGCGATGAGTGGACGACCCCTCAGGGTGTCCACGAAACACTCAGTACGACGCGGCCTCCGCCTCGCACTGGAAAATTTGTGGTCACTTGACGAAAAAGAATGTGGATGGCATTTTCATCGCTGTTTAACGAGAACAAACAAATTGATGAGTTTTATCAAATGTCCTCTACTTTTTGCATTGGCGTTACAACACTGTCACCAACTGACTCGACACTACTATCAAGTGACAACCGAAATTTTCACAATAAAAGGCCGTAAGAGGGGACATACTTCAAACAAATGGCTTTCGGGGTAAATCAAGCAAGCGTAATTTAAGCAAACATGATACTGAGAGTTAATTCGTAAATTTGAACACTTCTTCCTGAACATTGACCGACATCAGGAGGTCGGTCGGTCGGTCGGTCGGACGATCGGCAGCCTTCTTAAAAACGCCGTAAAAGCGTTTCAAAAGCACTGACATGAATTCAAAAGCACATTTCAAGTGCAAAGATGTACTGCGGAACCCATTTCAATGCCTTTGAAATGAGTTTTCGGCGTTTTTAAGTAGGCTGCCGGTCGTCCGACCGATCGACTGACCGACCGACCGACCTCCCGATGTGCTTCGGCTTAAGAGGAGGCACCCTTGAAACAGTGAGTTGAGCACTGAAAAGAATAATTCAGAGAAAAGCTACGAATTGAGCTTGCTCCAATGACTTTCTTTGCTATATAGACAAAATACGACGAGTCGGGAACGACAATGACTGAGTTTGGGTGCCCTGCGAGAATTCGAGTTTCATGAAATAAAGCAAAACAAAGCTCAGGAACTGAGATGAAAGCGCTCGAAGAAAAAGGTGTAAATGGATCATAAATACTGCACTTTGTGTGAAAACGTACACTGCGCACGTCAAAACCTCGCCCCTCTCATTTCGTACAGGAATGTGACATCACGTTGAAACGAATGTAACAAAATGTCACTCGTTTGAATGAATTAGCTTATTTGTGGCTGATTCACTTCCAACAAATTGTGGCATGTTGTCACATTCATTTAAACGTGATGTCACGTTCCCGGAATGAGTGGGCCGAAACACAAGCTGAAAATTTCTAGAAAAATCGTCACGGTAACCTATTCAAGCAAAAGTAAAGGCCAAAGAGAAAACAGCCAGACCGCACCCGTTTCCGTATCACCGATTTCAACGCACTTTGAAAGTACTTCTACTGTTTTGTGCGCGGTCTCACACAACTTTCCACATGCGAACTTTTCCGTACAAATTTGTGCACTGAATCCCACAAATCCGTGAAAAAAGGCGTAAGCGCAAAACTGTGTGACGCCACTTACCCAAATTGTACAAAAGACTTCAGTGTGGAGTCGAACACGGCTTACCTGTCAACACGACGACTTTGCCCTTGAGCGAGTCCATGGCTGCAGCTAGCAGCGGTCAAGGCGGCGTCGGCTCTCGGTCCGCACTGGGCGGCGAGTCGAGCGAGGCTGTGTCGCAAGCTGTGTCCGTCCCCCTCCCAACGGCCGCGAGGCGGGTGGGGGCAGTCCGTCTCCCAACTGTGCTTTCGTCGCTCTCTCTCCTCTCTCTCTCTCTCTCTCTCTCTCGCACTTGCTGGGGTCTCGAGTCTCCGCGGAGGTGCAAGGGAGACGCAGCGGCAGTCCGGGATCGCCGTCTCGTCAGGTCACTGAGGCTCAAGGTCGAGCCTCACACGTCTCCTGCACTGATAGCACGCAGGAAACGGCCACTTCATAACAAGAGAGGAGTCGGATTTGAGACCCGATTCTCGGACCAGCGTGGCGAGATGCAGATAATGCGACTTCACTCCCCTAAAACACTGAGAATCCAAACGCTATGAGTATAGCGTCAATTGGTGCAATGCAAAAGCATTGCACATGAAGTGCAATGTCTCCCCATTCCCATGCATTAGCATAGGGCATTTTCGGGATGCATTGCACGTAAGGTGCAATATGGCTGAGGCATTGCACGTGTGGTGCGATATCTCAGATGCATTGCACCATACGTGCAATACTCATAGCGTTTGGAATTTCAGTGAAGGGCAACGATGCCTCAACGGTAAGGAAGGTTATGAAAGGAAACTACTTTCGCCTTACGAGTCATGGAGACAGATTTTATTAGCAGGCCCACACATTTTAAACATAAAAAATACGAAAACAAAAAAGAGCAATTACAATGCAGGTCTACATAGTCACAAATAGACTGAAATCCGGGCAATTAAAACGTTTAAAAATTCCAGTGGGCACAAATCTACTTTGTTAAAGAGAGAAGGCGATAAAATGTTTTCCAGTTAACTAAACTAAATAAACTGAGACGCATATAAAAGCCCATAGGCTCTTTCATGGCGAGAAATAAATAGAAGTAAGTTACATAAAGGAGCCTGAAGAGTAAGTAAAAGCGAAGCTAATCACAGCAAATGCTTTAAATAATAAAACAAGATAAATCATTTGGTTATTCTGAATGCCCACGAACATTTTATATGTAAATTTTACATCAGTAACCAAACAGACCTATGCTTTTAGTGACATGCAGCTGATAACGCATCAATAAAGTCAATTGCTCAGAAAAAAAAACACAAGGCCACGAAATATTCACATTTCGGTCGTCCATTGACAGTTTGAAACGATTGCTCACGACAGTACTGAAGACGGAACGAAGTGTCACTGCGCGTTAGAAGTGCTCATGAAACGATCAAGAGAACCCACTAAGAACATAAAAGGATTAACGCTAGTGTGAGCAGAGTGCGTTGGTCAACTTGTCCTCATTACACTCCAGGCACCGAGCAATGCAGGACCGTGGGAATTCCGATTGAAATGGCACAATCGCGATCCAAAGATCATCACAGAAGAACTTTTCATACAATACTGCTAACGTGAGATGTAAGAACATCATAAAATCAACACATGTGCAAGCACTTCACTCAATCTCTGTTCTGTGTGTGCCACAATCGTGCTTTCTTCAGGTTGCATTTTAGCATTTAAGTGGACTTCACTTAAACGCACTCGTAAGGCTTCTCCCCGGTGTGGATGCGAAGGTGCTTTTTGAGATTACTTCTTTCATTGAACTTCTTCTTGCAAACTGTGCACTCGAAAGGCTTCTCCCCGGTGTGGGTGCGAAGGTGCCTTCTGAAATTACCACTATCAGAGAACTTCTGCCTGCAAACTGTGCACTCGAAAGGCTTCTCCCCGGTGTGGATGCGAAGGTGCTTTCTAAGATCTCCACTTTCATTGAACTTCTTCTTGCAAACTGTGCACTCGAAAGGCTTCTCCCCGGTGTGGGTGCGAAGGTGCGTTCTGAGACTTCCACTTACAGTGAACTTCATTTTGCAAACCGAGCACTCGAAAGGCTTCTCCCCGGTGTGGATCCGAAGATGCGTTCTGAGACTTCCACTTTGAGTGAATCTCTGCCTGCAAACTGTGCACTCAAATGGCTTCTCCCCGGTGTGGGTGCGAAGGTGCGTTCTGAGACTGCCACTTTGAGTGAATCTCTGCCTGCAAACTGTGCACTCAAATGGCTTCTCCCCGGTGTGGGTGCGAAGGTGTACTTCAAGATTTTCATTTCGGTTGAACTTCGTCTTGCAAACTGGGCACTCAAAAGGATTCTCCCCGGTGTGGACGCGAAGGTGCCTTCTTAGACTACCACTTACAGTGAACTTCTGTTTGCAAACTGCGCACTCGAAAGGCTTCCCCCCAGTGTGGGTCCGAAGGTGCGTTTCTAGTTGACTTCTCAAGGCGAACTGCTTCTCGCACACTGGACACTCCAAACGCTTCTCTTTGTTGCAGGCACCGCGAGGAGCACGCACGGACGCTGACGATCCGCCTGGGCGATGACGGGGTTCACGCTCGTGGGACATCCTGAAACAAAGAGTTTTGAAGATTAGCATTTGGTTGTCAAAGGAACAGCACGTCTGTAAAACCGGACTGCGCAGGTTTCAGAAGGTCCGATAACAGCCAGCGCCAACAGTTGTAGTTCTAATAAAATGTGGCATGCAGCGTCGAGTCCGCAATTTTGCGTCAGGCACAAAGCCACGGTCAGTCGACCACCGCAAGGTGCATTGGAAAAACAGTTACGTAATTTCTTCCAAAAAATGCACACACACAGAATTACTTTGCACTTGTTGGTGCATAAGCTTCGCACAAAGTTGAGCATGCGCTTGGAAATGCACGAATTAGTGCGTAATGAAACAGAAAAGTGTGCATAAAGTTCGAGCATATTGAAAGGCATGGCTCAATTATGAGCAAAGCTTATGTACGAAATAGTTCAAAGTAATCTAAACACTAAATGTAATGGGACTTTTTGTGTCCCATGAATGATGCAATTTGATGCAATTTAAAGTCCACCAGGCAGGACAAATTGTCTAGTGAAAGTACAATTTGCAGCAGGCGTCGGACAAAATGTGTCGCCAGACGGGACCAAATTTGTATCAGCGTCGGATGTGTTTCAAATTGCATAAATCATGGGACAAAAAAGGTCCCATGATATTTAGGGTGTAGTGTGCAGAAGAATTCCAGTGCGGAAGTACGGTGTAAAGTTAGTTCCATACGAACTCATGGAAACGGGTGCGTTTAATGAGTGATTCACTAAGGGAAGGTTGTACACAGAGAAATTTCTACAACTGAACATCCTTTGAAGCTTCAAATGAAACGTCGGCTTCACAGCCTTCGTAGGATATTAGTTTGTAGATTGTGTTTGTTATACAGAGGAAAATCCTTCGCAAGCTGCAGCCACAAAGGATAGTTTTCAGTTGTGGAAACAAAATCGTTAGTACTCGTAGGCTGTCAAGCCGCACTTTTCTTGCTTGTACGAAGGGCGTTCAATACAGAAAACGTACATTACATGTCTGGTCATTAACTTACCTGGACCGCGGACGCGTCCGTACCTGTCCTACTATTTTTCCATACCCGATTACATGAGTCCATATGGGACAAGTACGGACGTACCGAACCTTTTTCCGTACTATGTTCGTCTGTACCTTTTCCGTACAAAGGTACGGAAATTTTTTAGAACGTTATCTGTAAGGTTAAAATGTGAACAGAAAATATTGCATTTACACTGCAGCCCACTGGGACCCATAACCAAAACAATGTTTGACAAACTAAAAGTTTCTGAAATGTTTGGGGACATGAACCATCTAGCCTTAAAATCACAGCTCATGATCATGTTGTTAATGGTCCGAGTTTCTTACTTGGGCCAACGGGTGCTTCAATTGGAACCAAAGAAGTGAAGAATGCCGAGACCAATAGGACTGTGGAACCAACTGAGCGGAGCAATTCTCCACACTTCGACGTGCAGTTTGTGTGGTGCAGCTCTCAGATCGAGCTCCTGTCTTACTTTCGCCAAAGTGTTAGCTAACGAGCAGATCTCACTTGATGCGGGAAAACTGCGAACTCCGCAATCCCATAGCGAAGACTGAAAATCCCTCACTCCGCAAGTCGACACTCGATCGCACAGTCCATTTACGTCGAAGTACTCCGAGAAGACTTTCAGTTGGGAAGGGGCGTCCATAAAGAAGCGTTCAAATCCGTTGCCAATCGTAGAACAAGAGAACGAACACAACCGGAAATGGCGCCGGCAACAGATCTGCTTGAGTACATCCGGTAAAGAGTTTCTCGAATCGTGTCACTAACAAAGTGATGACGTTCCATTATTTTCGGGCAAAGGAAAGAAACATATTAGTTTGCATTACTCTCTGAAACGGGACTCCCTACCGACTCCTTTTCTCCCCGGCTTCCGGTTTCGAACTTTTCTTCGGCCGGCACCGACTTCCCCAATTGGAATGAAACTTTACCCCACCTGCATTTAGGGCTCGCGCCCTTCTTCACTTGCAGAAACTGAAACGCATCTGTATGCTTCAGAAAGAGTAAATCGAGACCGAAATCGTGTTAAGGGAATTTTTGTTGAATAACGCTACGCTGCGTGTGTGTAGGCCAGCGTAACGTGTCCCCCCCCCCTTTCCCCTTGAGGTGTCACAAAGTTTCCAACACTGCGTAACGTAATTGAAGATCGGCTGTTATGAGAAGTTATTACTTGCTGGTGGATTTTATTGAGCCAGCTGAGATTCCTCGTACCCAATCTGTTATCGGCCTGCACCTGCAAGCGCCTGAACACAGCTGCCTCTCCCTCATCGACGCAGTCATCGCCAAGAATAGGCCGCGCAGGACACGTGACATTGTGAAGAAATCAGCCCTCGGTGGGCAGAAGACCGGTAAAATCTCCAGAGTCGCTAAATGTGTGCGACTCGGACCCAACGTGTGACCCCACCAATAGGTTCCAGAGCTAGGAGAGCAATCCATTGGCGGGGTCGCACGTTTGATTCGAGTCCCATTTAGCGACTCTGCAGATCAAAACGCGTTAAGAGTTTTGGCTGACTTCACCGGTCTTCTGGCCCATTGTGCGGGCGCTCACTTTGCCTTTACTGGAGCTTCGCCGTTCCTGCCTCTTGTCTTATCTCTGAATGATGCCCGCTCCTTTGATGTTGCCGGCCCGGCCAAGTGGTCTTTTTCGTCTGGAGGTTCTCATACGGACAAAAAGTCTAGTCACCTTTAGAACTGTCGTATTGATTCAAATAAGACGACATATTGTTGTACAGATCTGAGCTGCGCTCGGCTGCACTGTATCGTACCTTATTTTATGTTGTTTGTTGTTCTGTACTAGGGTACGGAATTTGTTGTAGTGGCACATGTGGGGGGGGGGGACATTCAAAGAAACCATGTTCAGACTACTCGGTATTACGCGATATCTCACTGTATTACAGGAGTATTACACGTGCATTACGGCCTTAATATGGCATAATTTGGCAGACCCTAAAATGGTTTTACGTACTCGTGTATTACGCTTAATGCACGGTTTATGTGTACAGGGTATTACGCGGGCACATTGCTGTGAGATGCCTCATCAAGGGCTCGCGAAGATGAGCCAGACCTTCTTGAAGCTTGTACCCCCTCGCCCCATTCCTATTCCACCATCTCCTCTCGATGTTAGTAAGCGGGAACTCAAATTCTTGTACTTATTTGGGCAGTGGGCTAGTTCTGGTTTTGGGTGCCGATTTGGACGATTTTGTCGTGCACGAAGGTCGCACCTGGCTGACGTAGGTGGCGGCGCGGTCGCTCGCCGGGCATGCGATCGGACGCCGTACTGCTGATGCAAAGCATTTGTAATCGCACACTACCGTCCGGAATTTCCGTCAAACATCCTGCTTACGTTGATAATGCGTACCGCGCTCTGTCAAAGTGATTCAGGAAGCGGAAAAGGGGGATAACTCAATATTCGTCATACTTCAGGAGAAACAAAAAACTGTTTGCATGGTAAACTTAATCCAATCAGATGAATGATGCAATTTGAGTTTTGTCACGAAAGCCTAAGAGATAAAGATATAAACTCAATTTGGAGATAAGTTGAATTGTTCCTCTTCCGCTTCCTGGGTCAGGTAGCCTCTCAACTCTCAGCGAGTCGGAAGACCGGTGGAGGCGGCCAAAACCCTAGATGCGTTTTAAGCTCCAGAATCGCTGGATGGAACTCGACTCGAACGGAACGTGTGACCCCACCAACGGATACTGTTAAGGCAATCCTTTTCCTCCAACATTCTCATATAAGGTCAATGTGAATGTAAATGTGAATGTGTCTGTGAGTCCTGTGATGTTTGCACGATGGCTGTTGCATCCTGTTCCGTTCCTTACACTCTGTCACTCTGATTTTGGTCCTGCTGCTGTGAGGTTGTAAATGTTATTGAATATGGAATACACGTGTTTACTTATCCTGAAACTTAACGTCTGTGTACTTTATCTTGCCCGAAACTCCTGAAAACCCAAACCCAGAGAGCTCAATATCTCAACAGATACCTTGTTAGAAGAGCGATCCACTCGTTTCAAGTCCTAAGTAGCGACACGGGAGCTCAAAACGCGTCTCCAATTTTTGGCCGCCTCCATCGGTCTTCTGGCGGTGGTTGCTACGTCTGGCTACAAGCGTGGCACGCCGTTCCGCCCCTCTCCCGCCTATCTGCTAGGGAGAATCACTCTCCTACGCTTGACTTCAAGTGTAGTTGTAAGCTTGAAATAAGCGAGCGGCTACGCTTCAGTTTACTCAGTACACACAACAGGGGTAGGTTAGGGAAGAAAAGTACAGGGTAAGAAAAGTACACCCCCCTTTTGGCCTTCTGCTCCAGTCCATGATATCCATTTAAAAGTGTTTTCTTCATCAGATTTTCATGTTAAGTTGAAATCACAGGTCGAGGAATGGCTAAAAGTCAAGATATCAGCTTTACAAGGGTTGTACTTTTCTCACCCTGAACTTGTCTTCCCCAGCCTACCTCTGACTTGCTTGCAAGTACAAACTTAAAAATGCATGCTTGGCAAGTACACACTAACAAATACAGCGTCCAGAGTTTGAGCCGCCTCCACCGGTCTTCTGGTCCAATGTGCCATACACTCTTCAGTTTGCAGTGTAATGGCGTGTAAGTAAAGTGTCGAAAAAGTGACCAGCAGCGAGTATAATAGTGACAGTGAGATCTCCTGCGAGACAAGGCCTGCCATGGTTGCCACGCTGATCAGTGACTGCCGGCCTCCAACTGGAATCGGGCGGAAGGATGAAGCTTCGAGCTTGGCTCCGCATCAGCGTTCAGTTACTATTGGCTCACGCTCAGCCTCGTACTATTGACTTTCTCTTGCTTATAAAGTTTATTTTTTATTTTTTTAGGAGACGTAAGGGTACTGTTTTCTCTTTAGCTGTACACAATATTGATCGAAACATTCAGTATATTGTTAATATGGCATATGTTATGTACTCATTGAAAAGTCCATACCATAATGACTAAAAGTCAACTATGTTGATAAAGTATTATATTTAGAGAGCAAAATTCTGCAAAGCTTCGGCGAAAAATTGTCGTTGACGCGAAAAGCTTTATGAGCGAGAGGGAAATAGTCAATTAATTGACAAAAATCTCTGCAAGGGGCTGATGGTGCGGTGTACCTCAGGTGGCCAGGATCCTGTAAGACGCTTGCCGTGCTTTTTGCCTACTTCCAGGCGTTTGTGACGCGATGGGAGGATTACCTTGCGTTCACCAATTAGTGTATGCCAAATGTTCCTGTACTATTGTGTCCTTCGTGCGTGCACGATTTTAAACGTGTGCAACGCTTTACATAATATTGTGCTCAAATTTGCATAACTTATGCATTGTTGCGCATTGTTATGCAAATTTCACCTTTGAACAAAATCGTACAAGTTCCACCGATCAAAATAATTTGGTGTGTGCGAGACTCCTTGGGTGGAGCGAAGTTGTCATGGTGTTAACTAAATGAGGTCTGACCGGAAGTCTTTTCCATTGGTGATTTGGAATCATGCAGTTTGAAATTTTTGAATTTTTTTTTCAAATTATTTAACAGTTGCCTGAGTCCAATACATAGCTTTTAGAATTCTTAAAATTATAATCCTGTGCAATCCGTTTTAAATCATCAAAATGGGAACACCGTGCAATACTATTAGCTTTGGAATTTTTTAACTTGAGTGTTTAAACTTACCGTTATCACACGGTGAAACTTCTTCCCACAGAATGTCCCAACTCGTCTCACTGAACGGCATTATGAAATGTTCAGATAGGGGTTATTCATTAAGTTTTAAGGATGACTTAGTGATAATTTGTGCCCCAATGGTAGTGGATTTGTTTGGTCGTTCAGCTGTCTGCCTTTTATTAATAAACAGGCCTTTTAGGATCATGACGTCAGTATTTGCTAATCGAGTCACGATGTAGCTCGCTAAGATGAGTCATATTGAAATGAATCAATGAGGGACTTTGACGATCGGTTGACATGACGTCTCGTTCCAGAAAAAGCTTACAATGCAACACGAAAATGGAAATGTGCACGCTCAAAGCCTTACAAAGTATTTTAAGAGGATATGGTACACCTCCCCAGAAGCGGCATTTCCAGGGACGCGCAGGGACCTCTTTCTAACGCCGTCCTGGCCACACCGTTCGAGGTATCGATATGAAACTTGACACACGGGCTCAGAAGGGATCAATCTCAATGACGGTGCGTCCAAAAAATTTTTTGAACGCCTAAGTTAGGCCCCAGGGCAGTCCAGTTCTGGTCCAACTTTCGTTCACAACAAGTCCTAAGAAAATAGGAATATCCAAAAAAGGGCCACGGCACGTTGTAGCTGCAACTTTGCTCTATCCAGAGAACTTGTCCCCATCTGCGTGCGGTCAAAAATAGAGATCAAAACCTGGTAGACGGCGGACCTCTGCACGGCGGGTTTGGAGCTAGTCGGAGAGAGGAGGTGCAATATTTGTGCCGACGAGCTGTACCGTCTCCAAGCCCCGCACATGTTGTCGCCGACTTTGTTTCACTGAATGGGGACTGTCGGGCTGCCCACCCTCACCCGAGAGGTTCGGCACCGTGACAGGTCGATTTATGGCTCTAGGCTGTACGGCCACACTGAAAATCCAAGTGTGGGACAGGCATGCACTAGATAACGTGGGACACGGTTTGTCCCACGCTTGTAAGTGTGGGACACGGTTTGTCCCACGCTTGTAAGCGTGTAACACGGTTTGTCCCACGCTTGCAAACGTGGGACATTTGTCCCACGCTTACAAGCGTGGGACAGTTTGTCCCACGTTATCTAGTGCATGCCTGTCCCACTCTTGGATTATCAGTGCAAACTTTTAAAAGGGGACATTTTCTAGTTTTGAAACTTGGGAGCAAAATCAACTAAGACGGACCACTTCTTCCGGTGACCCTCTACGATTTGCATGATTTTTTGTAGGCTTAATAACTAACTTAAGGAGAGTCTAAAGCCAAAATATTAGGTCCGGCAAAAATTTATTGCCCGAGATATGGCCAACTTTAGTTTAACTTTTGGAGAAAAAACACGAATTTGGGTATTTTGGACTAATTTTACACTTTTCACAGTAGAGGGCTAAAATTTGGTCACTTTATGTAAAATTGGCCAAGGAACAAGAATATGACCTCAGATTTGACCTCTGACGAATACCTGAAGAGTAAACCCCCCAAAACACCCTAATGACACATAAAAAAACAGTTTTTTCTTGGGGTTTCTGGGAAAAATATGTGGACAAAATTTTTTGATGATCTTATCTTGTAGAAAATGGCGCGATGAATCGAATGAGACCACGCGCAGATTTTTATGTCAAACCGTTTAAGAGATATAGCGGTTCAAAGTATGAAAATTTTGCCATTAATTTTTTAAAAATGTAGGTTTGGAGCATTGTTTGACGGTTTTTGCCTCCTTGGTGTGTGTGGGTGTTCTTATCTCTCGGTCAAAGACGCGCTGAATCGAATGAGACCGCGCACAGACCTGTATCTCAAACCGTTTAGGAGATATAGCGGTTCAAAGTATGGGCACTGTAGTCCGCCCGCCAAACAGACGTGTTTGGCGGGCTTTCCTTGTCGGGTGTTTCAGGAGCTCTCCCGTGCCCATACTTCAAACCACTATATCTCCTGGTTCGAGATACAACTCTGTGCGTGGTCTCATTCGATTCAGCGCGTCTTTTTCCACAAGATAGGAACACCCACACTCACGAAGGAGGCAAAAACCGTCAAACAATGCTCCAAAGCTACATTTTTTTAAAAATTAATGGCAAAATTTTCATACTTTGAACCGCTATATCTCCTAAACGGTTTGACATAAAAATCTGCGCGTGGTCTCATTCGATCCATCGCGTCATTTTCTACAAGATAAGATCATCAAAAAATTTTGTCCACATATTTTTCCCAGAAACCCCAAGAAAAAAATGTTTTTTTATGTGTTTTTAGGGTGTTTTGGGGGGTTTACTCTTCAGGTATTCGTCGGAGGTCAAATCTGAGGTCATATTCTTGTTTCTTGGCCAATTGTACATAAAGTGACCAAATTTTAGCCCTCTTCTGTGAAAAGTGTAAAATTAGTCCAAAATACCCAAATTCGTGTTTTTTCTCCAAAAGTTAAACTAAAGTTGGCCATATCTCGGGCAATAAGTTTTTGCCGGTCCTAATATTTTGGCTTTAGACTCTCCTTTAGTTAGTTATTAAGCCTACCAAAAATAAGGCAAATCGAAGAGGGTCACCGGAAGAAGTGGTCCGTCTTAGTTGATTTTGCTCTGTACGAAGAGGTTTGGCGTGCTATTCTGGTGACAGGCAACTAAAATTTCAGTTTCTACGACCATTTGACCCGGACCTGTTGAAACAATGACAAAGGTCAAAATTATCGTAGAAAATTAAAATTTGATTCGCCTGGCACAAGGAACACGCGCTGAGTGCAATGGTTCATGTCCTGATAGTCTAGAGTCTATCCGTTCAAAAATTTAACTCTCGGAGTACAAGGCCATAAATCGAGCCGTCACGCTGCCGACCCTCGGCTCCGGCGCGTGAATGAGGAGGGGGCCAGCGGGGGGCCCGGCGCAGAGACAAAGCAGCGGGCTGCAGGCGGGTCGCCCGGAGGGGTGGGCGGGGGGAGGCGGGGTTAGTAGAGCTCGTCTGCGACAGTGCCTTTTCAAAACTTTGCAAGATGTTCAAATCCGACGTGCAGAGGTCCGCCGTCTACCAGGTTTTGATCTCTATTTTTGACCGCACGCAGATGGGGACAAGTTCTCTGGATACACTGAAATTCCAAACGCTATGAGTATTGCACGTATGGTGCAATGCATCTGAGATATCACACCACACGTGCAATGCCTCAGCCATATTGCACCTTACGTGCAATGCATCCCGAAAATGCCCTATGCTAATGCATGGGAATGGGGAGACATTGCACTTCATGTGCAATGCTTTTGCATTGCACCAATTGACGCTATACTCATAGCGTTTGGATTCTCAGTGTAGAGCAAAGTTGCAGCTACAACGTGCCGTGGCCCTTTTTTGGATATTCCTATTTTCTTAGGACTTGTTGTGAACGAAAGTTGGACCAGAACTGGACTGCCCTGGGGCCTAACTTAGGCGTTGAAAAATTTTTTTGGACGCACCGTCATTGAGATTGATCCCTTCTGAGCCCGTGTGTCAAGTTTCATATCGATACCTCGAACGGTGTGGCCAGGACGGCGTTAGAAAGAGGTCCCTGCGCGTCCCTGGAAATGCCGCTTCTGGGGAGGTGTACCATATCCTCTTAAGCATCCATAACCCAAGGGAAAAAATCCCTAACGTCCCTAACTAAAGGGATATTTCGCGGCCCCTTGATACAGGGACGGTCCCCATGGAAGGGCCAGCCCCTATGGATAGGGACAGCCCCCTTGTCAAAGGGCCGCGAAATATCCCTTTGGTCAGGGACGTGCTGCGGAGTGTTCAAGTGTTCAAAACATCTACCTCTTGAACATCAATGTACAATATAAGAAACGCTTCCTGAGTAAACTTTTGACGCTGATAACAATGGTAGTGTCGCCGACACTCTATCTAAAGCCGTTTACAAGATACCCTTAATAGGTGTGTAGCGGGTTTGCCTACCTAAATCACCCACATTTTGCGTAACTGGCAGGCTGATTTATAGGGCCTTGCGGTCTGGAGGGCGGATCCCCAAGTCCATAGGGCTGATCCCCAAGTCCAAAGGGCCGATCCCTAAGCTCACAGGGCCGGTCCCCAAGTCCATAGGGCCGGTCCCTAACTTGATAGGGCCCGGCCCTCTGGCAGATAGGGCTGAGCCCTTCCCAAGGGGCCAAGCCCTTTCTTGGATAGGGCTTGGCCCCTTCGGAAAGGGACCGTCCCTTTAAAATCATAGGGATTCTTTCCCTTGGGAATACAAACTAATTTACTTTGTTATACGATATGAAAATAGAAAGGTCAGACTTTTGACCCCTTTAACGGTCTTACTGACATGTACGACCGAAAAAGGGTCATACTGAAATACAAGACCAGAAAAGGGTCATACTTCGATTTATGACCGAAAAATGGTCATACTTTATAGTGTATCACAGGTAAAGGCTGATACATCCCCAAGCTAAACAATATCCTGTCTCGCTGATGTCTGACCCTTGTTTGAAGTATGACCCTTTTTCGGACATACATTTGTGTATGACCGTTTTTCGGTCATACTTTTTGTATCACCGAAAATCGGTCAGATGTCTCACCCTTGGAATTTTAGTGTAGTTCTTAAATTAAGGAAGTATTTTATTTGTAAGCTTATGTATGCTCAAACTATGTTATAACAAACTGCTTTTCTTTGTAAGGCCTAAAATAGTTAGTAAGGTTTTCTCAGTGTGGAAAAAGGCGTGTCTTTTAAACGAAAGGTTGTTCTCAGGCTTTCTCTACTCTGGAGTACCCTAGACCGATTCATTGTGAGCAAAGTCCAGGTAAACAAGTTTCCGCCACCGTTTCTGTTACGGTCAGGGCGGGAATAATTCAACCCTTATAAAGATTGTTTCCGGCGTACTTCCATTTGAAGCGCGAAAAAACCCCTCTAAAACTAGACCTAAAACCTCCTTGGGACAGTCCCTAGTGGAAATACTTGCGAAACCCGCACTGGGACTCTTCTCGTTGTTAGATCGAAATAATTCACACTGAACAAACTTGTTGTCACTATTTTGGATCAACATTCCGAGAAACACACGGAATTTAGCGAAATAAGCTTTTACCGTGTAGTATGTTTTACCCTTCACTTTCAATCCTGCCACGAATCTGCCAAAACCATGCAGCATGCATTGAGCTACAGAGCCTCCTATCTCTCGGCTTCAGTAACAATGCCTTGTTGCAGTCCACTCCGAATGCCGTTGATAAAAATGTTGCGGATACACGAGTTTTTAAAGTTTTCAGTGGTCCGAAACGAGACTCTCGGTTGTGGTTTTCACGGCTAAAAGAACTAGTTGTATCAACGAAAATGTAAGTTGATTTTGAGAAAACCAAGAAGAATTAGTCGGGTTCATGTTCATTCCATCTAACGATAGTGTTCATCGTGAGAACAAAATCTTAGTTCTAACCAAAATTCATACAATGTCAGAAAAAAACGGACAGAAACCACAATGAACCAACAAGAATTCCTGGCAATTTTTTCCATCATGAATTTGTTGTACCGTGAAACGGGGTAATTTTGGACACTGGGTGTAATTTCGGACATCTCTGACCGGAAGCATGGCGATGATGCTCCCATCTAACGGCAAACTTGGAGGCTTGTCCCGTTGCGCGCATGGAATCGGCCACACTTAATACCATCTAATCACTCACCCGGAGGTCAAAACAGTGGCAAACTTCAAGAGATAGAGCGGTTTCTGTATTTAACCCTTTTTACCAAAATTCGCTTTAAGCGTAAAAACTTTGACTGGCATGCCGAAACTGTTAATGGGCGGTTCATGAGGTGATTGTTTGTCAATTCGAACATGTTAAGAGCATGCTGTGTCAAATTTTCAAACATCTGGTTCAAATAGTTTGGTTTATATGGGCTCAAAACTGAAAAATTGTTACTTTACGGGGTAATTTTGGACACATAAACGTCACGCCAGGGAGATTGGGTATGTTCTGAACACTTTCAATTGCGCAGGGTTTGAGTACAGGAAGCTGAAGAGCTCTTCTAATAGATGAACATAATCCAATAACAACGATAATCCCCCATTGCCACAGCGGTTGCTTTGTGAACTTTGACTTTTATAGAAAAAGGGGCAAAGCTACATCTTTAATACTTTTTTCCATGTACATGTCCTACCTCAATGTCAACGACTGTTTTGTGACTAATTTTTTCATGTGGCATGAGAGTTGGACTTAGCGAATGGCTGCATAGCTCGCCGTTTTACTACAATTGAAATGTAAGGTTTCCCAGTGAGCCCATCTTCCTAACCGTACATACGACACGACTACTTGATTTTCATATGCATGTATGTAATCGTATACGTATCGTATCGTATGTAACCTTGAAGAGGAAGGTTCGGACTTCGGACACTGCTTCGGACCCTCCACTGTAAAAACGGTGAGGCGCAGATATTTGAAATTAGCGCCAAATCGAAGCTAGAGGTGGGTAGATGATAAATTTTAACCCTCAAGTGCATGACAACACCACAACTTTCACAATTTCAAAAAAAAAAACTCTCAAAAGTGTCCGAAGTTACCCCGTTTCACGGTACTTTCAAAATTGTTTCAGAGTTGTTGAAAAAAGTACAATGGAACCGGCATGACGGCTGCCGTCCAGCCTTGTTGTACTTTTTGCAATAGTCATTATACTTCGCATAATTTTCGTTGTACTTTTGTACAATCGTCCGTCACGTACATTTTTCACAGTTTTCGTTGTACTCTTCTCACTGTTCCTTGCAGTTTAGTGCGCTTACGAGCTTTTCTTGGCTATCTACTAATCAACATGCATGTTCGCTAGTCCATGGTCGTGTAAATCATGATTTACGCGCAGTGGTTGTCAGAATTTCTCTTGAGTAATCTAACCAATACGCATTACAGGACACTTTTTTTCAGCTTTTCTTACTCTTTAGTGAAAGTGGGGTGTGCGATTCTTTCCCTCCGTTTCTATTTTTTTTTAGTTCATAAATTCACAGATTTTGGAAGGAAACAATAAGCCGAACTGTATACATGTTGTGTGAGAAACATTGTTGTTGTCCAGGGTGTGCGGCTCATCCCCAAGCCACTGGCCCTCGACGACGACTGCCCCCTCTTCCCCCGGGTCAAGGAGTATGTGGAGCTATCGAACATAACATTCGGCAAATTTGCAAATGGCGAATATCACGCATCCGGGAAAGCGAACTTCTTTAAGAGGTCGCATCGGTGGAGTGACGTGAGTATCATATATAGAAGAATCTCCTGACGGGATTTATCTTATTTCACCTCCCATCACTGACAATGAAAAAGACTCTACGAAAACCTAATTATGGATGAGAAAAAGTTTATCGCCCGAATTAAACTTGAGCGGTGAAGAGTGCTCGAGAAACTCGTGTGTATATAGCATGGTTGCTCTGCTTTTCATGCACAAGGTAGGGGACTTCAATAACAGTGTACTTGCAGGCATGATTCAACCTGAAGCATTCTAGTACGTCCACACATGAGTTTGTGGAGTGTATCAGGTACCTATTTAGGTAGATTGCATCATCACTAGAATTGCGCGTGGATGCCTTCCTCACACAAAATTTTAGTCCTGATCATGACTCTTCCCTCCTGAATACCCTCCCGACTGACCCTGTTGCTAACGCATCTGTGCTTTACAGATACCACGCTCTGTTTTCACGTAAAATAAACGCATGGCACGCAGACATTGTTATCGTTAAAATCGAAATATTACTGAGCATTCTTAAACTGAGCGTCTCTACACATCAACATTTTCTTCCGTTACAGATGTTAATTAACATCACAACCTGCCCCATGACAGCGACTTCAGTAAAAAACGCAGGGTGCACTGTTTTCGGCAACTGGAAATTTGAAAAAAAAGTTTGTGATCTGCTCAAGGCGCGGAACACATTGTGGACCAAGGTTTATGATTCGGTTTCACCGACGCCGACTAACTGCAGACCTTTGGTAATTAGATTCCTTAATGAATGTTGGCAGCGACATCTTACACTCCCAGGATCTTATCAAGCTATTTCTTCTTAAGAGTACTTGAGCTAACGCCGGACAAGAAGAAGAAAGAAAGAACAATGCTTCAAGAACATGGCCGCCACGGGCTTTATCGGCTGCGACACTGCAAATTGGATGGAAAGACTTCGCGCCAAAATATGGCGAGACATAAAAGTCTCGCCAAGTTTTGGTCAGACCTGGAAGTTTCGTCAAAATTTGGTCAGACAAAAAAGTCTCGGCACAAAACGGTCAGACACAAAAGTCTCACCACAAAATGGCGAGACTTTTGTGTCTGACTGCTACCTAAAGGCCGTAATGCGCCGGACGGTTACGGCCTGAAGGCCCTGGTCAGACACAAAAGTCTCGCCATTTTGTGTTGAGACTTTTGTGTCTGACCGTTTTGTGGCGAGACTTTTTTGTCTGACCAAATTTTGGCGAGACTTTCAGGTCTGACCAAAACTTGGCGACACTTTTATGTCTCGCCTCTGGAGTGGCGAGAAGTCTGACCTTTGGATTTGTAGTGGAGGCCCAATCAGGAGCCTTCCGGCGGCCTTGTTCTTGACGCATTTCTTCCTTTCTTTTTCTTGTCCTGTGTTAGCTCAACTAGCTTAACACAATGACAGAACAGCAAAGGTGGCAACCTGTGACGAAGGGTTTGATAAAGGGCTCACTGTAAATGTCTTACGATGAAAGGCTGCACTAACATATTATGGTGGAGATTTTCTTCATAATACCAATGAAATACGTCAAAATGTCTATAAGGTACAGTGAATTCTGAATGGTATGTTATGAAATCAGCTGCACCACCATAATATGGAACATTTTCACCATAATATGGAGAATCTTCACTGTAGAACATTTGGAGTGCTAATTTCCGTGCTTTTTCGATACTTTTCTCCCTGTGAGTATTTATCTAATGCCCTTTCCTTCCCGTTCGTAGGGCCCATACACCTTCAATAAGGCTGGGATGGATTCTCGACTACTCGAAGCGCTGCAGCCTCCGAAGGGGAAATTATGGATCGTCGACTTCTTGATACGCGACTCCCACGAAGTCCCTGTGTGTTGCTTCAAGCTCAAGGGCGTGCTAAATTACGAGTAGCCCGTAGCCTGTGCGCCCATTAAAAGAGGAACAAGAGATTCTTCTAAGTACTCGGCTTTTTTCTATACTCTAACACAGCAAACCGATTTTAAAAAATAGTTAAAAATAAATCTAGCTTGAAACTACCACTCAAGGTTACTCAGAAGTGCTAGTTTTCTAGATGATTTGTATTCGAAATCTCCTTTGCCACTGCAAATCCGGCAGTGGAACAGTCCCAAGCTTGTGTTAGACAGGTAGGTTCACGCCAAAGTGAGATACAGTTCCACATTGAAATTGGCAGTGTGTTGGGAACGTTGCTCGCCCTCTGTCAGAACCCCCAAATTCCACTAGTTCCAAAGTTATGTGGGTACGTGAGCGTAGTCTCCTCCCCTTTCCCGCCCTTTCGATTTATTTCAACTGTCTTAATATAATTGTAGAAAAGGTAAAAGAATAAAATACACATGTGCACATGTTTCTTTGGGAGGAGATTTCACTTCTTGAACGAAAATATTCGTCATACTAAACAAAGCAATATACCACACGGAACACAATTGTGATGGCGATGTAGAGCAGAACGACCCTGGTGAAACGGTCCAGCCAGAACATTCTGTTGCAACAGAAAGACCAAAAGAAGCATAAGTTACTATTTCCTCAACTTCATGTTCGAACAGCTTGCAGACATGATTGGGCAGGAAATTAATTGGGTCACTGAGCTGAACACCGTAAGTTGACATTCCACCAAGTGACGTACTGCACTGGGGTGTTTCAGTCAAGTGCGACCTTCCTCACATTAGCAAGAGAAGGACCAACATCAATCAAGACCAGAGCAGCTAATGCAAGGGATACAAAAGACGGCGAAGTGCCCATTGACTTTTAAGTGAACTTGCACAGATACGCTCTCAGCAGTCATTCAGTACGTATTCGTAAAAGCAAGGATAGCATTTTCTCTGTAAGTATGTCTCATATCCTTTGTAAATTTATTCACTAAACCAAATTGTCAGTACGTTATCTAATAATTTCTAGGTAGTTCTTTAAAAGACGAAAAGTACGCATTATGGTTCCACAAATTGCTTGCATAAGTACTGTCAAAGAGCAAAAAGCCAGTAACGTTCTGAGGGGTGTGAATTCCCTGCAAAGAACGTTTTTTGGAGGGTTCTTCTTTGGAAACTCAAGGGAGTGCTTAAAAACGCTCCATGGGTGTCGACTTGAAGGACGCTTCACCCTGGCGGGCGGTTGCCATGCATGCTCCAGGTAAGCACCCTGCTAATTCAAGTGTGGACCACGCTAGGCAGCGTGGACCACGGTGGTCCACACTTGGAAGTGTGATTGGCCTATGAGGAGTTGAACGCTGTGAAGCGTGGACCACAGCTTGGTCTACGTTTCCTAGCGTGGACCACCGTGGTCCACGCTACCTGGCGTTGACTTGGTCCACACTTGGATTTGCAGTGCACTCTCCAGGATAAAGCTGACTCACTGGTGGAGCTTGCCTTGCACGCTCTTGAGTTCGTAGAGTAAGTGTGTGGCAGATTTCCACTTAATTGCCAAAGCACAGTGGACCAGAAGACCGATAGAGGCGGTCAAAATCCCAGACGCGTTTCGAGCTCTAGAATCGCTAATTAGGGGTCAAACCGAGCGTATGACCCCACCAATGGATTGCCCTCCGAACGAGGAATGCTTTGGTGTAGAGCACTAGCCCCTTCTCTCGGGCTCTACTTTAGTGGGGTCACGCGCACAGTTCAAGCCTGTTCAGTGACTCTAGAGTTCAAAACGCGTCTACAGTTTTGGCAGCCGTCTTCCGGCTCACTGCGCAAAGGGTCCTTCTCGACTCACATGGCCTGGTTCTTCTTGGCCGCCTTCGGGTCCATGTTCTCCTTGAGGATGTAGCGGCGCAGGAACTGCAGGTGGGTGTGGACGTACTCGGTCTCGTCGATGTCCGACATGTCCAGCTTGAAGGCGGCGGCGTCCTCGGGGCGCAGGTCGCGCAGCAGCGAGTAGTACTGGTCGTTTTGGAACACCCAGTGCGCCAGCGAGAAGTAGCGCAGCGACACCGTGGCGCGGTAGATCTTCCAGTACGTGCGAAGGAGCCTGCGGTGGGGTGCACCACCAGAAAATGGCGATTATACCAAGGGGAAATAACTTCACACTCAATGTTACGTACTGTTTTGTACTATGCATTCCAGACCTGAGCCAGCGGCGCCCCTTTGCTATGCAGGCCTTTTCTTGGTGCCATCATGAGTGTGGCAAACAGCCTCCAAACAACGAGCGAAACAAAGGACCGAACCCTTAGAACGCACCGGAACAGCACTCGGACAATGAAGCCCCCGGTGGGGTTTGGCTGTTTAACTTTTCCTTTGGTCGCCGCTGGCTCAGGTCTGAGCGAATGCACAGTACGATACGTCACACATGACCGAGGGGCACACAACTTGAATTTAGGTGTATATTTTCCGTAAAATAACGGTGAAATAGTGCGAAATAACGTGAAATAGCGCGAAATAACGGTGAAAAGGCGCGAAATAAGATTGGAATACCCTTGAAGTAACGATGGAATTACAATTAAGTAACGTCAATTTGAAACAACGGTGCACAAATTTTGACGAAGTTGTTTGCCCCTCGCCAACGACCTTTTCGTACAAATTTCGTACGGAAAACTGCACAAGTTTCACCAATTTTGTGCAAAATTGCGTACAAATTTGTACAGCAATGTGCACAGAAAACGGTGATGTCTCGTACAAAATTGTAATTTCAGTGCTCCGTTTGGTTCCTCACGGTGCCTCACCACGTCCTGCGGCCGGCGACGCGCAGCCCCAGGTCCAGCAGCAGCGCGGGCGCGAAGTGCAGCAGGCAGGTGAGCGCCGTGAAGGCGGCCATGCTGCTGGTCACGACGACGAAGGGGTGCCACAGGACGCGGTCGTGGGGGGCCACCTCGTTGGACTTGAGCGCGCACGCGATCGAGTCGCACACGCTGAGCGTCTTGCGGTGCGCCGCGCTGCAGTTGTAGACCCGCAGGGACGGCGTGGCGCTGCACAGAACCACACTCTACACGTCTCGCAAAGAAATTGGAGCTAGGTTCACTGCGAGAAAAAAGTACACACTAAATGTTTTGTACAATTTAGTAAGAGACATCACATCACAGTTCTTTGTGCACACGAAATTTTCGTACGAAAAATTGCTCATTTTTCGCCATTTTTGTACAAAATTGTACAACATTTTGCACAAATGTACAAACAGAAAGTTCGTGTGCACAAAATACTGTGATGTCTCGTACAAAATTTGTACAAAAACATTTAGTGTGTACAGAACATGTCTGGGCAGTAATTTGCCTGGACCGTCCATACCTGTCCTACTACGGTACTTCCGTACTATTTATCCGTGCCCGATTACATGAGTTCTTATGGGACAAGTACGGACGTTCCGTACTTTTTTCCATACTTCCGTACTGTATTCGTCTGTACATTTTCCGTCCAAAAGTACGGGATTTTTTACAGTGTTATACAGTGAATTCCGCGCAGGTACACACTAAGGTTTTTGCACAAATTTTGTACGAGACGTCTCAGTGTTCAATGCACACGAACCTTTCGTGCCAATTTGTACGCTATTTTGCAAAAAAATGGGGAAATATGTGCAGTTTTCATGAAAAAATGTACGAAAGATTCATCAGGGTAAAAAAAATCTGTGATGTCTCGTACAAAATTGTACATAACATTGAGTGTGCATAAAACGAACAGGGTGCACAAAGTTAAAATTTATTATCGCACATGCTCGAAATACCTCGCAAGGTTTTCAGCGTGGAGATAGCAGTTAGGAAAAGAAGGCAACAAGTCGTCCTGTACCCCTTTGAGAATCGCCAAAAATCCCCCCTCCCCACCCAAAGGTGGCCTCTGCACACTAAATTCTTATGGACTTTTTAAATGCATAAAGACGCATTTTTTATGCATAGTTATGCATGCGCAGAAACGTCCATATGTTATGTATAAAATTATGCATCACTGTGTACATTTTATGCATCTTCCTGCATGAAATGTACACAGTGATGCAAAATATTATACATAACATACGGACGTATCTGTGCATGCATAACTATGCATAAAAAAGTCCATAAGAATTTAGTGTGTGGATCCGCCACTGCCACGAGCCGGCGCGACGCCCCCCACCCTCCGCAGCCAACCTGACTGTCGCGCACGGTGTGTTGCCTGCCGTCCCGGCGGAGGCCCCACGCCATTGCGCGCCTGATGGAGCCACACTCTAAATGTTGTACAGTGAAGATTCTCCATGGTGAAAATGTTCCATATAATGGTGATGCAGCTGACTTCCTAACATACCATTCAGAATTCACTGTAGCTTACAGGGATTTTGACGAATTTTGTTGGTATTATGGAGAAAATCTCCACCATATTATGTTGGAGCAGCCTTTCACCGTACCGTGAAACGGGGTAATTTCGGACACTCGGTGTAATTTCGGACAACTCTGCCCGGAAGCATTGCGATGATGCTTTCACCTAACGGCCAACTTGGAGGCTTGTCCCGTTGCGCGCATCGCATCGGCCACACTTAAAACCATCTGATCAATCACCCGGAGGCCAAATCAGGGGCAAACTCCAGGAGAAATAGTGGTTTTTGTATTTCACCATTTTTACCTAAATTCACTTTATGCGTAAAAACTTTGTCTGGCAAGCCGAAACTGTTCATGACTGGTTCATGAGGTGATTGTTTGTCGATTCGATCATGTTAAGAGCATACTGTGTCAAATTTTCAATCACCTGGGTCAAATGGTATGGTTTATATGGGCTCAAAACTGAAAAAATGTTACTTTACGGGGTAATTTTGGACATACAAACGTCACGCCAGGGAGAATGGGTATGCCCTGAACACTTCCAATTTCGCAGGGTTTGAGTAGTGGAAGCTGAAGAGCTCTTCTGAAAGTTGAAGATAATCCAATAACAACGATATTTCCCAATTGCTACAGCGGTTGCTTTGTAAACTTCGAATTTCATAAAAATGGGGCAAAGCTACATCTTTAATATTTAGTTTTATGTGCATATCCTACGTTAGTGTCAACGACTGTTTTGTGATTAATTTCCTTTCATGTGACATCAGAGTTGAACTTGGCGAATGGCTGCATAGCTCGCCGGTTTACTACAATTGGAATGCCAGGCTTTCCACTGAGCCCCTGTATCTTCCCAACCGTACATACGACACGACTACTTGCCCTTCATATGCATGTATGTGATCGTATGTAATCTTGTAGAGGCAGATTTAAGATTCACTTTCGCGTAATAAAGTATGGCCCGAGTTGCCAAAGGAAGCTAATCGGTCAAAGATTAAAAAATAGAAGCGTTCTAAATGGCTCTACTAGTTCCACCCACTATTCCTGAAATCGAACTACATATGAGTGCAAAAACATGATTTAAAATTATGTATGAATGACCCCCCCCTCCCTTTACCTTTACATCTAAACCCTTACGAATTCGTCACATAATCATATTAGCACTTAAGAACGAGACAGTGATCGATTATGGGACCAAAATCGGAACGAAAAGTCGTTTTTTTCCAGGGGTGTCCGAAATTCCCCCAAAAACCCGGGGTAATTTCGGACACTGCTTCGGACCCTCCACTGTAAAAACGGTGAGGTGCAGATATTTGAAATAAGCGCCAAATCGAAGCTAAAGGTGGGTAGATGATAAATTTTAACCCTCAAGTCCATGACAGCACCGCGACTTTCACAATTTCAAAAAAACCTATCAAAAGTGTCCGAAGTTACCCCGTTTCACGGTATGACATTTAGAAAGCACATGGACGATAAATCGCGTTTAAACGCGGAGTTCACTTGAGCGATCATCTGACAGAACAACGTATCTCCATAGGGAATCCCACGGTGGATGCGCTGTTATGTACGAATGCCACACACTTGACTTGTGAGGATGATCGTCCTCTTGTGGACCCATAGCAAAACAAAGGAGGCACTTAAGTTTTACCAATCTTGTGGAAATGATCCGGAAGCGGAAAAAGGGGATAACTCAATTTTTGGGCCCTTTTCCAGGGAAACCAAAAAGTTAGGAGGGAAAAATAAAACAAAACAAAAGAATGTTGCACATTTAATAATTTTTAAAAAGCATTAGTAAAATTTTTGGGAAAAAAAAAAAAAAGTGTAAGGTCACTCCGTAGAGGATTTTTGCGACTTATCGCTTTTTCCCTTGAAATGGAAAAAAGAGTCAGCTCACCTTATATTTCCCAAACAAAGAGGAATTTGGAGACAATCAAGTGGGGAAAAAAGTCTGCATAAGTGTATGTTACTCTGGTTTTATTTTTTGGCCCTTTGCTCTTTTTTCCCAAATTTAAATTTTAAAAATTTAAAGGGGGCTAAATTGAGTTGATTTTTTTACCCCAAAATTCATAAAAATACAAGTTGAGTTTTATCCTTTTGCCCAAATTTTTCAAACGGACCCCATGTGGACTTCCGTTTATTTTTCTCCATTTTCCAATGAAAATTTTGACCGTAAAAAGGGGGTTTAAATTGAGTTATACCCCCTTTTTTCCCTGGGATTTTCCCCCTAAAATGCTTGGAATTCAGTCAAATAATCTGGGGGTAGTGATGGAAACCATTCTAAGGCACAATATTAAAATACAAACTCAATTTGGGGATAAGTCAAGTTATTCCCTTCTTCCGCTTCCTGGATCAAATGTGCATACGGAAGTTATGTACGATTTGATATCTAATTTATGTACAAATTTGTCTACAACTCATATTATATGTACAAGACGAAAAGTCCTCAGGCATTTAGCGTAATGTACACAAACGCTTAACCTTTAACCTTACGAGGTATTTCTAGCGTAAGGTACAAACTAATTAGTTTTCAATGCGAAAACATAGTTCGTAAAATGCGAAGTATTTTCTTTGTACGCTTATGTATGCTCGAAGTACAAGCGTCTTTGCTTCATGAAGCCTTAAAGAAGTTACTAAGGTTTTCAGAGTGTAAACATAGAGTGGCGTACCGGAGCGCGCCCTCGCGTGCCGCCAGGATGATGCCGTTGACCACCATCTCGAGGGGCACGATGTCGATCACGGCGTCCTTGTCCGCCAGCGTGGTGTGCACCAGCCCCTTGGTGATGCCCACGCACAGCGCGAACGGGCCGTTCAGGTTGTTCGTCCAGCCGGGCATGGGCTCCTTCACGGCGCCAACCACTGTGTACAGCGAGAAACGAGTCGTCACGAGCCGCCTTCTTGGCAATTCATCAAACTCGATACCATTTCTTAACAATACACATAAATTAATTTGTGCAAACACACACTGAGATTCCAAACGCTATGAGTATAGCACGTATGGTGCAATGCAGCTGACATATAGCACCACACGTGCAATGCGATAGCCATATTGCACCTTGCGTGCAATGCATCCCGAAAATGCCCTATGCTAATGCATGGGAATGGGGAGGCATTGCACTTCATGTGCAATGCTTTTGTATTGCACCAATTGACGCTATACTCATAGCGTTTGGATTCTCAGTGCAGACTGTGGCAAAAAGCTACGGAAAATTTTGAAACCAGCTTGTGGTAGTTCTCCGTACCCCCCTTGTCAATATTCTTATGTCCTTACTCTATCTCCGTAGGCTCGTACAGACTTCTCCTCTGGACCTTACAGTGATCTCCGTAGGACTATACAGTCCTCCAGATCCTACGGAGAAGACTGTAACGGTCCTACGGAGGATACTGTAAGAGCCTACGTCACATTCAAGACGGATTGTGACATCACATCACATTAAAAACGGACTGTGACATCACGTCACACCACATTCAAACGGAATATGACGAGGTCGCATCCAATCCAACGAGACAAAATTCACATGCCAACAAACATGACGTCATTTCGTTCGTTGAACAACGGTGCGGCCTTACCGATAGCCGGCCGGAAGATGGCGATGTTGAGGCGGTCGCTGTGGTCCAGCATGACCTGCTCGGCCAGCGCCTTGCTGAAGGTGTACGTGTTGGGCTGGTAGCCCATGGGCACGGCCGCGGCCACGGCCTGCGCCGTCTCCGTCTCGGCCAGGCGGATCACGTGCCGCCAGTCCGCGTCCGCCGCGTACACGCACTCCTCGATGACGGGCTGGTGCGTGTTGCAGTACGTCGTGGACACGTGCACCATCACCTGCGCACCGCACCGCCAGTCAAAGTGATGAACGCGACCTTCGCAGTAATTTTTTTTGGCACAAATTTTGCACGCGACATCGCAGTTTTTAGTGCACGGTAAAAATGGTTCCTGGTTTTCCCAGTAACTCCCTGGAAATCGCCTATGTTTCTACCATAGGCTTCCTGGGGAAACCAGGAACCTTTTTTACACTGTGCGCATACGAAATTTTCGTGCAAATTCGTACGCGGTTTCTTACAGAAATAACTGCTGTTTTTCGAACAAAAATTGTACGAAAAGCTCGTGTGCACTGTTTGTTTTACCTATTACACTACAGAACTACACTGCAAACCTAACTGTCTACTAAGTACACACTTACAAATGCATGCTTGTAAGTACACACTTACAAACTCATGCTTGGCCAAGTACACACTTACAAATGCATGCTTGCAAGTACGCACTTACAAACGCATGCTTGAGGCCGTTTAACTCCATGCGTCAAGCATGCGTTTGTAAGTGTGTACTTGGTAGACAGTTAGGTTTGTAGTGTATTACAGATCTATTAGACACCGGACAACCAACTCTTTCCAGAGTGGGTTCGCCCTCGCATTGCAGGGGTAAAAGGACACGTTGCACTGAGAATGAAGAAGTCCATGACGTATGGAAAATTTCCATGACGGTTTCGCATGAAGGAAAAATATTGCTCCCTATAATGCTTGCATCAAATTCAATGTAACTCAGGCCAAAAACAGGTGGGTAGCAAGGTTACTATTTTTAATGCCATTAGCACTGGATATGCTGTGGCTGTGGCCTTCCATAATTTGTAGTGAATTTTGGCATCGTTTCACAAAAGCGGTGGGGTTTGTGAAGAACCGGGGCAATGTGGCCTCCCGGTGCGGTGGCGTCGCATTGTGCGGTCTGGAAGGTAGTAAGCGTGTCGAGGATGCGCGCGCGAGAGAGAGAGAGAGAGAGAGAGAGAGAGAGAGAGAGAGAGAGAGAGAGAGAGAGAGAGAGAGAGAGAGAGAGAGAGAGAGAGAGAGAGAGAGAGAGAGAGAGAAAGAAAGAGAGAGAGAGAGAGAGAGAGAGAGAGAGAGAGAGAGAGAGAGAGAGAGAGAGAGAGAGAGGCGTGCCCAGACGCACCTGCAGCCTTGACATGCCGAGGGCCAGCTTGGCGGCTTCGCGGGCACCCCGCGTGTTGAGAAGAACGGCCCTTTGGAGCGGATCGTCGAATCGCACCGACGCCGCAGTGTGCACGAACACCTTCAAAATAAAAATTAAGAATAACTACACTGTAAATGTCTTACGGTGAAAGACTGCACCAACATATTATGGTAGAGACTTTCTCCGTGATACCAACGAAATTCGTCAAAATATCTATAAGTAACAGTGAATTCTGAATGGTATGTTATGGAGTCAGCTGCACCACCATAATATGGAATATTTTCACCATAATATGGAGAATCTTCACTGTACAACATTTAGAGTGTAGTCGTTTGTGAATCTTGTTAGATGTTCCCAGAATAAACTCGGGAATTATCCTCATATCACCCTGATATTGAAGTACATGCCTTAAAGGCATCACGCGATGCCATTTTATCGATGGAAATTAAACTGGTGGGAAGAAGTACACACTGAATGTTTTTGTAAAAATTTTGTACGACACTTATCACAGTTTTTTGTTCACACGAACTATTCGTACAAATTTGGACGCGATTTTGTGCAAAAAATGGGGAAATATGTGCAGTTTTTCGTACAAAAATTGTACGAGAAGTTCGTTTGCACAAAAAACTGTGATGTCTCGGACAAAATTGTACATAACATTTAGTGTGCAGAACGTGGCTGGGCAATTTGTAGGTATCTGGGCCAACCGTACCTGTCAACTACCGTAAGCCGGGGTAATATGAGACAATTTCGGGGTAATATGAGACGCATGATTTTTATCGTTAGAATTATAATGCTCATGGCATTTGATGACTTATCCCTGTCAAACTTCACGGCGAAAAATAGTACCATCAAGAGTTATTTATTTTTTACAGCAGTGGCTCTCTTGGTGGCCGAATAGCGGGCTCAGAGTGAATCTTACTCAAACTAAACTCCGTCACATATTACCCGGAAATTGTCTCATATTGCCCCGGCTTACGGTACGGAAGGTTCCGTCTCGTTTGCATGAGATCCTTATGGGTGCTATGGAGAAACAGTGCGAAAGGTCCGTACATTTCCCTCACCCCATTTCCCGTTCCAATTTACGGAATTTTTCGCAGAGACAATAGGGTGAATTTCATTCAAAGTTCAGGCCTCACCTGGACTTCTGCATGCAGCGTGTCGCGGTCCTGCGGAGACAGACCCAGCTCGAGGCTAGCACAGTCGCCATCCAGGGCAGTGACCACCCTGTCCAGGCGGTCGCCCTCGCCAGCAGCACGCAGTTTGTCGAAGAGCTGCAACAAAAGGCGAGGATTGCACTGCACTGGAAAAACTAAAGCGTAAGTCTACGCTTGAACCAAGCATAGAGTTACGCTTGAAGACGTTACGCTTAAAATGAGGCAGTTTGGAAATGCTCCCATGCATCAAGATAGGGGGAATCTTGGCGGTTGAGCCTGTTACGCTTGATTTCAAGCGTAAACTGATTATGCTTGGAAACAGAGGGTAATACTACGCTTTAGTTTTACCAGTGTGTACAAAGTACAACGAGAATTGTACAAAATACACCAAGGCCGGGACTGCACTGCACTCATTATGCCGGTTCCATAGCAGCGTGCTTTGAACAACAATTGAGTGGTCATCGGACAGAACAACCTATTTTCAATGGGCTTCCCATGTGACTTACGTCCTTATGCCCAACGGCCGCTGAATTGTACCTCGAGAGTACAAGAAATTCCTGATGAAAAATTTGCCCCGAATTTTTGCAGGTTAATTGTGTTTGTTTTTTCTAGCAGTGCAGGATGTAGTTATTATGGCTTGTGCTTTTGCCAGTACCGTCAGCAAGCGTTCTGCTCCATTGATCGAGTTAATTTTCTGCAGCAGAGATTCCTCTCGGGAGGAAAGCACGCGTTACACTGCTAGAAAAACCTCTTCATTTTGGGCACGAAGTAGCTTTATTTTAAAAATCGGATGGATTGTACTCCAATTGCTGCTCAAAGTACAATGGAACCGGCGAGTGCAGTCCACGCCCCGCAATATTGTCTAGTCCTCGATCTTTTATTTTTTTCACAGTTTTCCGTTGTACTTTTGTGGCCCCATTCGTACTGTTCCTTGCAGTGTACACTGCGAGAAAAAAAGTACAGAAAAAGTACAGAACATGTCACTGGTCAACAATTTGCCTGGACCGTCCGTCTATACTATACGGAACTTCTGTACTATGTTTTTTCGGTACTCGATTACATGAGTTCTTATGGGACAAGTACGGAGGTTCCGTACTTTTTTTTTCGTACTTCCGTACCTTTTCCGTACAAAAGTACGGATTTTTTGGTTTTGCAGCACACTAGGTGTTCTTGTACAAATTTTGTACGAGACATCAGAGTTTTTTTTGTGCACACGAACTTTTTGTACAAATTTGTACAAAATTTTGTACAATAATGTACACTTTTGTACAAAAATGGCGAAAAATGTTCCGTTTTTCGTACGGAAAATTGTACGAAAATTTCGTGTGCACAAAAAACTGATGTCTCGTACAAAATTGTACATAACATTTAGTGTGTACAGAACATGTCACTGGTCAACAATTTGCCTGGACTATTTTTCCCGTACGCGATTACATGAGTTCTTACGGGACAAGTAACGGACGCTCCGTTCTTTTCTTTTCGTACTTCCGTACCTTTTCCGTACAAAAGTACGTATTTTTTGCAGTGTATGCTTACCGGCTCGCGCAGCATGCTGTGCAGCCTCTGCGCGGGCGGCGTCCCCGCCTTGGACCGCATGATGATGTAGACCTTGCGGATGCCGGGGCACGTCCGCAGCAGCTTCTCGAGGAGGGCCTTGCCGACGAACCCGGAGGCCCCCGTCAGCAGGAGCACCTTGCCGTCGAACGCGCCGGACACGGTCGCATGCGCATCGGGCTGCGACATTTTGCCTGCCGGGACGCGCACCGCTGACGTCAGAGAGCCAAGTAAATTGGAGGTTACCGGCTTTAAATTTGAGTGATTGCACTCTCAGCCTCTTGTTCACTGCAAAGGTAAGTTTACTTGCCACAAATTTTGAAAGCCGTTTTGAATGCCTAAATTTGGCAAGCTTAGGTCGGAAATATTCATAAGCTTGCCAAATTTGGACAAGCAGGGTTTTTTTTTCGGGCCAAGCTTGCCAATTTTTGGCATTCAAAACAGCTTGCCAAATTTGTGGCAAGCAAACTTACCAGTACCACCGGCTTTGCAGTTTTGACTTTGTCGTCAGTAACCATGTCCTATACAACAATAATACTCAGTATTTTCTTCTTAGATATAAACAGTTTACTGCATAAAACTATTTGGGAATTTTTTTTGTCGATGCGTTCTAACAAAATGCAGATAATAAAAACTAAAGTGAAAAGTACATATCGCTGTTGCACAAAAAACCAGAGGCACCATCGACAAAATGTCAATACCCTGTACTAAAAGTCAACAGCGAGTCTGTGTGGTCCAACTATGGTTCCAGTTGTACACACACACACACACACACACACACACACACACACACACACACTTTGTATTTAGATAGAATTTGGTACAAGCAAGTTGCACGTGGAATTTGTGAAGTATTAACTTATGCCAAAAAACGCATTTTTTTGCAAATTTGGGCACAATTATATGATAAACGTTGCACAGGTTTTAAATCATGCAACACCCCGAACAAAACTGTACATAAACACTCTCATTCCAAGAACGTGACATCACGTTGAAACGAATGTGAGAAAATGTCACGTTCCTTTCAGCATTGTGGCTTATTCGTTTCAACGTGAATAAGCTAATTTGTGGCTGTGAATCCAAATGAATGTGCTCACTAAATGTTATATACAATTTTGTACGAGACATCACAGTTTTTAGTGCACACGAAATTTTCTTACAATTTTCGTACGAAAATCTGCACATTTTTCGCCATTTTTGCACAAAATTGTACTAAATTTTGTACAAATTTGTACGAAAAGTTCGTGTGCACTAAAAACTGTGATGTCTCGTACAAAATTTGTACAAGAACATTTAGTGTGTGACACGATGCTGAAAGGAACGTGACATTTTGTCACATTCGTTTCAACGTGATGTCACGTTCCTGGGATGAGAGTGAACGTTTTGGCTGTAAGTGGCCCACTCACCTGACACACTGCCTTCGCCTCCGAGTCATCGACTGAGACGCACTCGTCTGCTCGACTCCACCATGGCTCCGCGTCCCCGGGCTCCGGACGAGAGACGTGACGGATGCCAGGGCGGGGGCGTGGCGTGGCGGGGGGGCGGTCCGCCGCGGAGGAGGCACGCTTCCCGAAACCGCATGACCCGACCACCGAGGCAGCCGCAATCACGCAGCCCAGCAGACTGATTCCTTCGTCGCTCTCTCTCTCTCTCTCTCTCTCTCTCTCTCTCTATCTCTCCTCTCACTCACGCCGCGTCGCCGGTGGGTGTGAGAGAGACAGAGCGACGTTAGCGACTCCCGCAATCCGCCTCCAGGGCGCAGGTTGCGTCGCATTGGGTACCTTGTCCCCTTTACTCTGACCTTGAACACAGAGAAAACAGGCTCGCTGATTCGGTGGCTTCTTGTCTCCTAATCGAAGAAATGACAAGAACAGCGACATCCTGAAAGGCTTCGCTGGCGGCCCGCTGTGCTTGTCCGAGTCGGTAAAACTCGGTCCGTTTCGGAGTAAGTTAACCTACTCCGCGAAATGGAACTGCATTCGTTTGATGACCATTTCAGAGCTAATTTTACTTACAAGGATGTCATCAAAAAATTGATGACTTTGTTGTCACACGTGACGTGTGTTGTCACGCCGCAATACGTATCGGAACTTTGATGATATGGTCATCATTTGAAAGTGATCATCTGACAGACCAACGTATCTTCATAGGCAATGCCACGGTACACTCCACAAAAAATGTCATGTCAACGCCGTTAATTTATTACCAATGTTTGCTGCTATGCAATTCACGGCGTTTGCTGTGAAACTAGTTCACGGCGTTCATTGTGATCTCGGTGACAGTGTTCACTGTGATCTGGCCACAGTAAACGCCGTGAATTGGAGCCTGATTTGCAGTACTTCGGTGCTCAGCGGCGTCAAACTCACAGTGTTTACTGTAGACCAGATCACAGTGAACACCGTGAACAAGATCACAGTAAACGCTGTGAATTGACCTACAGTAAAAACTGGTAATAAATTAACGGAATTGACAGGACATTTTTGGTAGAGTGTAGATACGCATACCAATGCCACAGAAATATCATCTACACTGTGGCAAAAAATGAACGGAAAATTCAGTTATTTATTTTCTACCAGCAGGATTTTCCGTAGCCCCCCTCATCAGGACCAAAGTATTTGTAGTGACAACAAATTTTCACAATGAAGGGCCCTGGAAAACACTACATATTTGCCTAAAAATTACGAAATACATACCAAGCAAGCGTAAAGAATGTACGAACTTGTCAACGGGCTGTGCTGAATGTTGGCGATGTTCGAACCACAGGAAGTGCTCGGGCGGACGCACGAACACACTGTACAGATCCGATACCAGATATCCGTCCTACGGTATTACAACAAAACGGGCTATCCAAAAATTGTTTTTTTAAAGGTATAGTTGCGCATTGACGTTATTCTCCAACAGACTGTAGGCCTTTATTGTCACGCCATGTGTCGGCGCGCGTTGCTGTGCGGCCGCGATCCTAGAACAAACTGATTCAACACAGCGTTTCGTCGCTTCGCAATCAATGGGGCCGATCTCACAAGTGCGCGATGCAGCTATTGTTCGGAATCATACAGACGCTCTGCCATCTCTTCCTTACCTTCTTTATGTAACATTGAGCCTCCGAAACTAACGAAGGTGCCTCTGGCATGAACGTCGCCGAAGGCACCTTCGTAAATTCACGACGATTCTTAGAAATTTTTGGGGGTTCGTGGTACTTCGCTAAGATTTCTTTCGTATACGTCACAAGTGCACGACTGTACAGCTATTCTTACGGATACTCCTACTGACGACATTTTGCCAATTCAATTCCGTTACTCTTCTTTAATACGTAATCATCCATATCAAAGAGTTTTACTCCGTAACATACAGACGAAGGTCCTATGGATGACGTGACGAAGACTCTTCGTAAATACGAGATTTCTCTACAAGAAATTTGAGGTCGTGAATTCGCAAAATTCTCGTAATACAGTATAGTTCATAGTTCACACTTAAATTCATAAAGATTCTTCGCTTACGAATAATTTTGGTGAATTTACTATATAGGAACCTTCGGCAACATTCTTGTCACAGGTACCTTCGTTGATTCCCGATTAATTTCTGACGTGCATTGCCAGCGAGTGAATCGGCTTCGGACACTCAGACCGGCAAGTGCGTCCGGCAATGTCTCCATGGCACCTTTCACCGCCTTGCTGATGGCCCCAGTCCTCCTATCGCTCCCTGTCCACAGCAAATCCATCAATAATTTCGCGGTAAGTTGTTTCGACAAAAAAAAGCACCATCAAGGGGCATCTCACTGAAAATCGAAAGGTGGGACATGTCTGTCTGACCCGAGGGGGTAAAGTTTACCCGGTAAATGATCGTGTGTAGAGTATACTGTTAAAAAAGCCGTACATTTCAAGGAAAAGGTTACGGCTGAACCGTACCTCACGGTGTGCAGAACAACTGTACCCAAAAACCGTGCTTCCCATAAGAGCCCATGTTATGAGAAACCGTACTTCGTCCCAAAACGAGGGGTCCTACACACTAAACTTCTTACGGATTCATCTCTCTGTATTACGGACATTTTTGTGCAATTGCAATTACGGATAGATTTAGCTTGTAATACGGATGAAATCATCCGTAATACAAAGAGTTTTTCGTCCATACCTTACTAATATTTTCGTCTGTATGTTACGGACACGAAAACCTTTGTATTACGGATGAAATCATCCGTATTACAAACAAAATCCATCCGTAATTGCAATTGCACAAAAATGTCCGTATTGCGGATACATGGTGTCCGTAAGGAGTCTTCAGTGTATTCAAAAGATCTTATCTGGGCGTTCCCCCCAAGACAATCTTATCTTAAACGCAGGTGAATTTCACATAGTTTGATCATTTGGTACAGCTACATATCAATATAATTTGTGAGTTTGTTCAAGTAAATCTAAAGATGGAAGATCAAGAAACCAAAAGTGCATTTAGAAATATGTTTTGCTTACCGTTGTATTTATTCTGAGTGATCAAAATGAGTGAAATTTGCCAGCGTTCAAGATAAGATTGTCTTGGGGGGAATGCCCAGATAAGATCTTTTGAATAGGACCCCTCGAAAAGCCGTACTGGCGGAGGTACGGTGGTACCAGGCAAATTGTCTACCAGACTGTGCCTGTACCTTTTGCCGTGGATTTTTCTACAGTGTACTCGGTATTACACTGTATTACGGAGATATTACACGTGTATTACGGCATAAAAATGTCAAAGTTTGGCACATTCGGCCCAAAAATGGTATTAAGATTACGTGTATTGCGCGTAATACACGGTTTTTGTGTACAGGGTCGTATTTCACGGCGTCGCTAATGCATGCATGCAAGCAAGTGTGTGCCTGCCAGGCATGCAGAAAAGAAGTGTGCGCCTGCCAGGCATGCAGAAAAGACGTGTGTGCCTGGCACTCTTGAGTTTGCAGAGCGAGTGTTTTACCCCCTCGGTCTGACCGAAAGAGTATGCTATTCGGATGTATGGCCGCAAAAGGGCGGCAAGGGCCCATGTCGATGGGCTAATGTCTGACCTTTTTTGCGATTCTTAGTACTACCCTAATTTGTTCAGTGTCTCGCCCTTTAGTGCTTCTCATTTGTGCCCTCCAGGGTCCGTACATCGTTTTCGGACATCGATACGACGCGTGCCAATCGGAAGGGACGTTCTTGCTGCAGGGCCGAATAAGTCACTTCAACCCCAAGAGACCCTACGACCTGCAGTCCTTTTTCGGAAATATAACATTGAAAGAAGATTTTAAGGACGATTATTGGGTAATGGTGTGCCTCAATTGAAATGTGAAATTTGAAGGCGATCTGTAACCCAACTCAATGATACTTTTAAAAAAATCTTGTTCCGCCTCCGCTTACTTTGAACCAAAAAAAAAACGGTATATGAATTTTCGACAATATTTATTCTTAACAGACCCATGCATGCACTACCAAATGGGTCCATTACATATCAATTGACAGTTCAATTTAGCTAGAATGAAGAGCCACTAAAATCTGACAAAAATTTACAAAAGTTTCAATCTGCAAGGCTATTCTAGCAATGTGGCAGTCGAGTGGCGCACTGAAAGCAACCCGCGTTGACGACGTTATTGCAATTGCGATGAAAATGTATAGAAAGTGGCGAAGTAGTCGTTAAGGAGGCATTAAACAATACATTTCGGGAAAGAGGTTCTACCTCGAAGGCGGACCTCATCGGACCACGCGTCCTGGGGATAGAGAGAAAAGTTTAAGATGAATTTCTTTTACGGTTGCCAACTCTGGTCCACCTCTGAAGGCTTGCCTTGGCACTTTCCAGGCATCTGCCACGATGGCCGTGCGATCCAATAACCAGTGGAAAGAAAACGCTTTCGTCTTCAATTTTCCACGAAAGGGGTGCTCGGCGGTTCGCGAGCAAATGCCCGACCTGTACCGCCTCATCGCCGAGGTCAGCGGGGCGGCGGTGGCCGACAAGGCGGCGCCGTGTGTCATCCCCAAGGTACGTGCCCCAAGTGCAAAACAAACCTAACTGTCTTCTAAGTTCACACTTACAAATGCATGCTTGCAAGTACACACTCGCAAACGCATAGGCCGACTTGTCCGAGTACACACTTATACGCTTGGTAAGTAAATACTGTACTTACTTTCAAATGCCTACGCTTAGCGGAGTTATACGGCGTCAAGCATATGTATTAGTGTGTTGCCAAGCATGCGTAATTGGTTAAAACGAATCAAAAATTTCAGAGAAAAGAAGGTAGAAGTTAAGAAACAGTAGGCGGTTCTGACGTTTCAGACCGTTTCGGCGGTCTAAAAATTTAGAACTGGGTGGTCTGGAAATGTAGAAATAGGGGGTGTTGGTATACAATTTTTGGACGGGCGAATGAAAATTATAAACGTGTAAAGCTCAAAGTTTTGTAACACGCGCCTGGGCTAACGTTCCCATCCGCATGGAAAATGCAACTTCACTGCTCGTATTTTTCTTCCTGCAGGGAAACTTCGTCATAGCGGAGCCTCGTCCGGTGAACGCAACGTTCCCCAACATCCCTGTTCTCAAGTACGGCCGCTACCGCTATCGAGCGACGTTGAGACGAACCAGGACCAGCCCCAGTCTACTTGCGTGCCTCGAGTTGGACTGCGAAGTCATTCCGAAACCGTGACCGGGGCACAGGGCGTCACTACGAAAGGGGGAATGAGGCAAACTTTTAAACAACCCCATCACTGAGAATTGCGATGAGTAAACATTCAGACATATTCGGGCAGAATTACTGAACCGAAGGGATATTCTTTGTTTCCGTTCCTTTCGGTAATTCCTTCCGTCATGACCCTAGTCGGCCGATGCACTTGGACAGTGTACTCAGTGCACTCAGTTAAGCGCACTGAGAAACCTTACGAACTATTTTAGACCTCACAAAGAAAAGCTGTTTGTTATAACAAAGTGTTTTGAGCATACATAAGCTTACAAGGAAAATACGTTGTAATTGACGAACTATTTCTTCGTATAACAAAGTAAATTAGTTTGTATTATGTATGCTCTAATTATACTTCGTGAGGGTTTGAGCGTGCGTGTAATTACTCACGAGTACATTCTCTTTATCGTGTACTTAGGAGTACCCTGATAGAAAAAAAGTACAGAAATTACACGGAAGGATCTGTAGTGGGACTGTAGATGAAACGGCAGTTGTTCATCTGCAGTCCGTTTCTGTAGTTCTTTTCTTCCCTTTATTTGTATTTAAAAATGTAATCAGTTTTGTATCGTCCGCTGCAGTCAGTTGTATGAACTGTCCGATAAAATTGTAGTTAAAACTGAAACGTCCGAAATAAGTACTAGATTTTTTGCAGTCAGAGTACAGTTGAATGACAGTTAAGTGTGCTTAAGCTGCATTTTAACTGCAGTTCATTACAAATAACTGCACTTCAACTGCACTTGAGCTGCAGTCGTATATCTGCAGTTAAACTGTGGAGATTTATGAACACTTTAAGATCAATTGAGTTACACTTTAACTTCCCTCCTTATTCACTGCAAGGTGAAGTATGACTTCAGTTCTTGGGTGCAATTCAGACTGCAGATTCTCCCACGCGGGACATGTCTGGTCAATTTTTTACCTGGACCGTCCGTACCTTGCCAACCACGGAGGTTCTGTTAATGTTTTCTGTACCCGTTTACATAAGATCCCGGGACCACAGAGAACCAGTACAAGGTTCGTACCTTTCTGTACCCATTTTTCCGTACATTTTCCGTGCCAAACCACGGAATTTTTTGCAGTGTACACTCACATGAACGTGTTTTTAGCTGCATATATTTCCATGGGAATTAAGGTGTGTATCGAGGAAACTCTCGTTAAGGCGAGGGGTGAATCACTCAGTGTCCTAGCGTACACATGAGTTCATGAATACGCGTGAGTACAGCTCGCTTTACTCATAAATTTCACATTTGTAAACGTTTTATGGCTTTATTTAGCGTTTTAAACGGCACTCAACGCCAAATCAGTCGAAAAACTTGTGAATTTCGTCCTTTTTAAACTTGTGAGTACACTGAGTACGGGCAAATTTGTACACATGAGTACACTGGTGATTCACCCCTCGCGTTAGAGTGTACTCAGCTGAGCACACTCTCGCGGCAGTGTACTTGCGAGTACGCGCCAAATAGAGTGAACTGAGCACACTGTTGAGTTTGCAGAGTATGTGACGCAATGCGCAAAGGAACGTGACATTTCACGGTTCGACTCGGTCCTGGAAGTTCCAGGACCGAAATGGCTGGTTTGGGTCGCGCGCACCTGTTTCCAGGACGGATCGCGACCAGGGTGAGGTTTAGTCCTGGAAACGGGTGCGCGACCCGAGTTTTCTGACCAGGTTCCAGGACCAAGCCCCACCCTGGTCGCGATCCGTCCTGGAAACGAGTTTTCCTGGCACCCTCGGGCTCGGGCAACCGCTTCCAGGTTTGCCGTCCGTCCTGGAAACGAGTTTACCGTAGAGCCGGACGGGCGTCACTCCCAGCCTCAAACCTCTCGCCGTCTGCGCACCGCGCGCCCGGCAAGGAGGCAATCCCGCCACGCTGCCGCGTCCGGGTGGCAGAAGGGTGGCCTACCTCGCCCCTGTCACCTCCCTCTCCCTCCCCTCTCTCCTCCCCGCCCTTCCCCCGCCACCGCGCGACTGCCAGACACACCCCGTTATTGAGATTACCAGGGGCGGATCAAGAGGGGTGACTTCTCAAAAATCAGGATTTGGATGTTGCATATCGTTTCTCATATTTTTGGGAACGGAGACAACTAGTCTTGAACCATCTTGAATGCAAGTTAGCTCCAAAGCTGATCCAATGTATTGTCAAAACATCCAAATTCGGATCACCCCCTTTGCCCCACCTCTTGATCCGCCCCTGGTAATCTCAATAACGGGGTGTGTCAATGAGGGTGACTTTTCCGAATTTGAGATGTTTGAATGTCGCATGTTGATTCTTATGTTTACAGGGGTGTAGGTAACAACACTAGCCTTACTTTTTGCAATGGGCCTAAGATGTTCACATTTGGAGGCTTTTTAATTTTCTGTTTTTTTTTTACGATACGTAAGATCAGCTTTAGAGCTTGCATTCATCATCGTTCAAGATTCGTTATCTCCGCCCCTGAAAACACAGAAATCGCGTTGCAACATCTAAAAATCCTGATTTTTGAAAAGTCACCCCTCTTGATCCGCCCCTGGGAATCTCGTAAACGAAAATTGATCATATTTTCAGGTTCAGCACCCCAAATAACTGTTCCGAGTGACACTATAAGTTCAAGATCGAGAACCTGCGGTCTCAAATATGCATCATGCTCCCCTCCACACCACTCCAACTAGCGAAAATTTGCCAAATCGCAACACTAAAAACCGTCTTTCTTCCTTGTTTATGAATTTTTTCCAACCAAATTTTGAGGGTTGCTACACTTAAGTATGGACTATAACCCATCAAAAAATAAAAAAAATAAAAAATACTACTTTTGAGAAAATCGTGTTCAAAAATTTGACTTTGTTCAATGTTTGTCAAATTTGAAAATATTTGTCAAAATGTTGAAATAAGCTTAAAGTCCAATTCAATACCTTCCGAATGCGCCTATAATGAGATCTGTAGCTTCATTTTTGAAGAAACTACAGCGTTTTCAAAAAAGGTCTGCAACGAAAATCAAAATTTTTAACAGAAGCTATAACTTTTTCAAAAATCGGTATTTTTTGCTCAAAATTGAATTTGGGGGGTTTCAGACCATAGCCAACAAGCTCGCAAAGTTTCATCGAAATCGGATAGACCACTTGCAACAGCATGTCGCACCCCCATGGAATGACCCCCTTTCGATTCGAGTGGGTTGGGTCTGATGTTGATGTTCTTTTTCTTTTTCGGCTTAGGCAAGATGGCGTCATTGGCGCGAAGATCTTTGGCGTTTAAAATGAAGAGCCGTCGCGGTGGCGCTGGCAGTCGCGCGGTGGCGGGGGAAGGGCGGGGGGAGAGAGGGGAGGGAGAGGGAGGTGACAGTTGACAGGGGCGAGGTAGGCCACCCTTCTACCACCCGGACGCGGCAGCGTAGTGGGATTGCCTCCTTGCCGGGCGCGCGGTGCGCAGACGGCGAGAGGTTTGAGGCACACTCGTTTCCAGGACGACTGGTGAACCTGGCAGTGACGCCCGTCCGGCTCTACGATAAACTCGTTTCCAGGACGGACGGCAAACATGGAAGCGGGTGCCCGAGCCCGAGGGTGCCAGGAAAACTCGTTTCCAGGACGGATCGCGACCAGGGTGGGGTTTGGTCCTGGAACCTGTTTAGGAAACTCGGGTCGCGCACCCGTTTCCAGGACTAAACCTCACCCTGGTCGCGATCCGTCCTGGAAACAGGTGCGCGCGCCCCAAACCCGCCATTTCGGTCCTGGAACTTCCAGGACCGAGTCGAACCGTGTTAGACACGTCCTAATAGAATAATCCGAACTGCCAGGGCAGATCTAAGACAACCCTAACTATTTTGTCAATTAACTACCCTAACTGCACATCACGTGAAAAGCGGTGTTTTCTCAAAGTCCGTGACGCCAACTTACTTCAGGGTATGGAAAGAGACCGTGGTGGGGGTAGGCACTAAAAAGGGCGCGAATAAGGTTTCCCCATTCTTACACTACAACGGGAAGAAAAACACGAACCAGTTTTCCGACATAAAAACCAAGGAAACTGTATTAACACGTGCCAATAAGATGTTATTTCGATGATGCTGTTTGAAACTGAGTCTCTTAGTGACCGAGTTTTACCTAGATAGCAGTTTGAAATATTCCAAATGTTATCCTCGAAAGTTGGTGAAAATAGACCTGGTTGTCCCTTTCTGCTCTCTCTGGCCCGGCCATTTATTTGCTGGTTCTGTGCATAAATTTGATTTTTCCCTGTATTTTCCTCATAATTTGTATCTGAGAGCGTGGCTATTGTCGTAAAATATTCTGTTCGTGGATTTGCGAGCACCAATCAAACGCACAAGCTCAAGAACTCTCCGGAAAACCACCCGAGAAGGTAGGTGTTCGGGGTTAACCCAACGGTGTGCCGGCTCTCGTCAAAAATTCCAACTGAATCTAAACCTGTGGACATTCATGCAGTGTACTGATCATCTCACGATTTTACCAGATATCTCTATTTTCCTTTGTGAATGCTTTACTGACGTTTCTCTCTGTCTTAGGTATTACACATGGCTTCCACATGCTGCGACTCAGTGGGAATCCCAAACTTCAGAATATTCTGCAGATTGAATTACTCAAGATGGAAGTGCGTTGAGACCATTTCACCCTTGCAATGTTTTGGAAGAACACCATGCCACGTCTGATAATTAATGCAGTGTATGATATCTTGGGAACGTGACACCCCCTCGAGCTGATGGTGGCCGACAAATTGGGTACGTTCTCTTAAATCACTTAATTTATATTTAAGTGCGCAATACTGTACTCTAAAGAATGGTTGATGAAATAAACAAACAAACAAATCAATTTCCCTTCATAATAAAATGTTACAATTCCAAGACTGTGTTTCAGCTGTTGCTTTCTATGAAATGGGGGTGTGGAGTTGTTTAGACAGGACTTTGAATCAACCTTGGCGTCTGCTTTGCTGTATGCATTTAAACTGATCCAGGAAGCGGAAGATGGGGATAACTCCATTTTGACCATTTTTCAGGAGCAACAAAAAACTGTTAGCAGGGAAATCTAAAACTGAACAATGGAATGTTATAGATGATAACAAGTTATAAAAAAGGAAGTTAAATTTTGAGATAAACATCACAAGTGTCAAGTCACTGCGTATAGGATATCTGTGACTTACCACTTTCCGCTAAAATAGAAAACAGAGTCATCTCAACTTAAATTTCTTAAACCAAGTGGAATTCGGAGACATGTCAAGTGGAACTATAGTCAGCAGAGAGTGTTGGTTCATCTGGTGCATTTTTTGGACTTAGCTCTTTTTTCCGTTTTATATCTTAAAATTAAAGGGGGGTAAGTTGACTTGATTCTTCTTACAATGGATACATAAAAACACAAGTTGAGTTATCTCCTATCAACAATATGTTGAACGGAGTCATGTTGACTTTGGTTGAGATGATTCTATTTTCCGCTAAATTTAGAGTGAAAAAGGGGTCAAGTTGAGTTACATCTTTTTTCAAAGTGGATTTTCTGTTCAACTGCTAGGAATTGAGTCAAATAATTTGGTGCAATGATGCAAACCATTCCAAGGCACAACGACATAATAAAAACTCAATTTGGAGATAAGTCGAATTATTCCCTTCTTCCGCTTCCTGGATCAACTGAGAATGTTACTTTCTTTGTATTGAATCCCACTATTAAAATTCATTTTAAATAGAAAGTTTAACATAGTTAAGAGCTGAACATGAAGTTCGAAAGGCAATACTTTGAAAGGCAATCCAATTGAAAGGTTTTTTTTTTAAACGCCTCCTACTCTAAGTGTTGCAACGTTATCTGTTGGTTTGGGCATTTTACATTTTTTTAAATTTAATTAACTGTGGCAAAAGGAAGAGTAATTAGGATATGATGTCACTAAAATTGTTGACATTGTCAATGATAATGTGATGGGTCCAATGTCTGAGTTGTCATGACTTCATATCTTTTTTCACAGGGGTCCTTCACAAGCTGCTTCGGGGTCTGCCTGCATTGAAGTGCCATATTCCAGTGTACCTGGTGTTGCTGCAGAAGAGCCTGTTGAGACAGGTTCAGTTCGAGCAGAAAATTTGATTGCAAATTATGCTGGCCAAGAAGACAGTCGCCTCCCAAGTCACTACGGAGCAAGACTTTGCCCAAAATAGTACAGAAGATTTCACAGCCAAGAGTTTCGAACTGGTCAGCCCTGAAGGACGCTGGTGTTATGTGCAATTTTGTGAAATATATTTTATTTACATGAACAGTTGTGTATTATTTGATCTAATATCATCTTTCATTATTATTGTTATTATTCGTGGCAAACGCCTCTTGACTACCTCCCCGGGATCAGAACACCCTTTCAGGACTTGGTGCAGATTGTAAATGTATTCATTTTTCTGTTTAGTTGATTACAATTTTGTTATCAATTAAACAGAAAAATGAATACACTGACAATCTGCACCAAGTCCAGAAAGAAAAACAAGAACTGAATGTGAAATCCGTCTGCTAGCTACTGGATTTCGTCTGCTGAGGGCCCAAATTTTTACATTTCCAACAAAAATAACATCATGTTTTTGCAGCTTGGAATTTTCAGAGTATCTTTGCTTTTAATGCAGTAGCCGTCTAAAATAAATATTATGGCTTCAATGCTTCTCAAAGAGACTTTAAAAGAAACAAAAACATTGTGTTAGTTATTTTAGGTTGCCAGTACTGGGGCGACCCTCTACGTCACAGCCGATTTAAGGGTATAGGCCTTCTCTGAAGACTTGCCATACCCTGACTTACTTCATAAAATTACTTGCCGAAAGGCTTGTTACAAAGTTTCATCCTTATATAAATACGTGGACATTGTATTTCAGATACATCGAGATTCTCTGATTTGCAGTGAAGATACTTCATGAACACTTTTAGGTACCTCTGCAGTTATAGTTCTAAATCTTCACTGACAGTTAGGATTGTCTTGGATCTGCTTTGACAGTTAGGATTATTCTATTAGGACGCGTCGAAATTTTGTCACAGTCGTTTCAACGCGATGTCACGTTCCTCAAATGAGAATGAAACTGTATTTTAACGTGACTTCTTATTAAACTATCTCGCCGAATGACCATGTCGTCAGAGCACAGGGTTTGAAGACTGCAGCACCGAATGGAGGATTCCCTCGGGATCATGAATAAGTTGGGCATCGCGTGCGCCACCGAATTGCAGTGGGCTCCGCAGAACACTGGCCAAGTTTGGTGGCGCATACATACACACACGAGTTCGTTCACTTCTGAAGTTCAGAGGAGGGCCCCGCTTTCGTCGGGCCAGTCAGTGTGTCAGAGTCAGTGTGAGGTTGGTGGCTGGCCGCGACACACCGAGCGGAGAATAACCAGGGACAGCAAGAACCATGTCTGGTGAGCTAGAGTGCGAATTCGTGGAGACACGGCGCACAGTGGGTCAAAAGTCTGGTAGAGGCGGACAAAACTCTAGACGCGTTTTGAGCTCCAGAGTCGCTAAACAGGCCTCGAACCGAACGTGTGACCCCATCAATGGATTCCTCGTTCGGAGAGCAATCAATTGGTGGGGTCACACGCTCGGTTCGAGTCCCATTTAGCGACTCTGGAGCTCAAAACGCGTCCAGAGATTTGTCCGTCTCCATTGGTCTTCTAGCCCACTGTGTGCAGGTGTCGCACGCGCACAATGCAAGTCCATGTGTAGGGCAGTCACCTACTTTTTGACGTACCAAAGTGTCTCACGTTTGCATGTGTGAACCACGTTTATCGCACGTTTGCAGGTCTTCTCACACAGATGGCTTGTTTCACACTTGCAAGGGTGGGACCGGTATCAATGGACCACTATGAACCAGTTGTACTACAGGTTCATTCATGACTGCCAATATCACAAAACGAGTTGTGGGGTGTGTGTCCTAAAACAACAGAGAGCAACAGAGAGCGTCTGACTATCATCGCCTTGACCCTCACTTTGAATGTTCTACAGTGAAGATTCTCCATACTATGGTGAAAATGTTCCATATTATGATGGTACAGCTGACTTCATAACATAACGTTGAGAATTCACAGTACCTCATAGATATTTTGACGAATTCCGTTATGGAGAAAATCTCCACCATAATATGTTGGTGCAGCCTCGGTGCAGCCTTTCACCGTAAGACATTTACAGTGAGCTCCCTTCCAGTGTCCGCGCAGGTGGCGGCCGAGATGGCCAGCCTGCTGACGGTGCCGCCCTGGAAGCGCGTCCTGGACCGCGTCATGCTGGCCCTGAACGTGCTGTCGCAGGCGGGGCTCCTCGTCGCGTTCTTCGCGGAGGTTCTCCGCCAGAGCCCGGACCGCGCCTCCATCGCCTTGTTCTTCTTCACGGGCTTCTTCCTGCTGCACTTCGGTCTCTGGGTCAGTGGCAGATCCCCGCAGAGAAAACCCCACCTCGCTTACACTCTAAATGTCTCACAATGAAATTTGACTTATGTTCTTCGTATGGTAGTGTGGATTCGGTGCAATAGCCTGTTACGAAGCAACATTTCTTCGTAATACGAATCTTTTTAGCTTTTTCATTGTAAGATACTAAGGAAAACCTTCGCAATACGACGAAAAACCACCATCGTACTCCCCCGAGGGGGTATGCGCTCTCTGAACCTGTGTACCGACTATTACGCTATTACGCTCTATTACGCCACAAATTGATCGGAATTTAGCTAACAACGGCCTAAAACACACCAAAATTGATAAAATTTTGACAATTTCGGCTATTACAGATAGAGTGAACCGACTATTACGCGAGTGCATACCCCCTCGTACTCCCCCGACCCGCCGACCCATAGCTGTCCCGCGCGGGAGAATCTGCAGTCTGAATTGTACCCAGGAACTGATGTCACACTATGCTTTTAAGTGAACAAGGAGGGTAGTTGTAGTGTGGCTCAATTGTTCTGAAAGTGTTCACAGATGTGCTATTTTGTGTGTAGAATGAAGTATGCATCGGGCATAGTCTAACTGCAGATGGCCGGCTGCAGTTCGAGTACGGTTAAAATACAGTTTAAGTACACTTAACTGTACTTGAACTGTGCTCTAACTGCCGAAAAACTAGTAGTTTTTTAGGACCTTTTCAGTTTCAACTGCAGTTTTGCGGACAGTTCACGACAGTTTTGACAAAAATACGGTTTTGCCATAAAAATTCAAAATTTTTGATTTCCAGCCTTACGTTGCCTCCCTCCCACTCTCTCTCCCTTTTTTTTTTTTTCTCTTTAGTCGTTGTTGAAGTTTGTCAGTCAGTAGTCGAACCCGGGCCTCAGGGTTGTCAGACCGCAACGCTGCCAACTGCGCTACGGAGACGTGTGAGGGTCTGGCGCCAGCGCGGGCGATGCCACTGGCCATGCCCGCGCGCTCAGGTAGACGGGGATTACCGCCACTCCGCGCTCGGCGCGCTCCACTCCACGAGGAATTTTCCCGTCATTTGCCGAGACAAGCTGATCTGGAAGCAGTGCCGAGCTTCACTCGGCGAAATTTTGAACATTTGAATCATTCCAAGGCCGTGACGTGAAAGGGCATTCAGGGTGAAGTTGGAAGTACTCTTTGACTTCTACAGCAATAAACTTTAATTGTAGTTTTTGACTGCATTCCCAATTGACCCCGGGAATGCATATGTCATACACTTTTCTTTACTCTCCATGTGTAAGCAAAGAGCAAATTAGAAGTATATTTGTCACGGCATTTGGATTTGGAAATAAGTTGAACTTTGACTGTGGTTTGAACTACATTCTGAACTGCCAAAGCAGACTGCAGTTGGATCTGGCAACAAAAATGCAGTTGAAGGACAGTTTCTGTGCACTTTAAAGCACAAAATTGACTGCAGCCAGCAATACAGAACTGATGGCACTTTAAATGCAATTTAAGGGCAGAAAAGAACTGCAGAAAGGAACTGCAGATGAGCCACTGCAGTTTCAAATACAGTTTGACTACTGATCCTTTCGCGCGGGGTCGTAAGTGTCACAATTTGTCAGTGATGTCGTGTGCTGGATTAAGTAGCGTAGTAGGTTCAACGACTTTCTTACCTCGCGGGAATTCCCCTCCGCCTCTCTCTCTCACACACACTCTCTCTCTCTCTCTCTCTCTCTCTCTCTCTCTCTCTCTCTCTCTCTCTCTCTCTCTCTCTCTCTCTCTCTCTCTCTCTCCCGGCCCCTCGACAAGCTTTGCCGCCGCTGCTTCTCCTGTTTCGGGCGACAGTCGCCTGTGCATCAGGTGGTTGTTGAATAACCCACGCCGCCGCCCGGCAACTTTCAAAGACGAACTTTCCTGGTCTTTCGATCGGATTCACTTCGGGGTCACGCGCGTCCATTGCTGGCACGGACTGCCGACGTTTTGTGGAAATCCAAGAAAAAGCGACTCTATTGGACTGACACAGACTGGGCTTGTGACTTGGTCAGTGACTGGGTCAGTGACTGGGTCGGGTCAGTGACTGCGTTATTAACTGCCTTAGTGACTTGGACAGTGAATGGGTTCGTGAGAGGGTTAGTGACAGGGTCAGCGACTGGGTTTGTGACTGGGTCAAAGAGTGGTCTCTCACAGCATGCGCCCTAAGTACATTATTGTCCATAAGTATGAACGAACATATTCAAAAATTTGTAAGGTAGTAACAATTTCATACATATCTTAAGTTTAATTTTTTTCCATATTTGCTTATGTATTTTAAAAGGTGTACCTAATTTCTACAAAATTTTACTTTACATCTGTACAAATACATCACTACTTGTGTACCAAATGTCCTTGAGCATTTAGCGTGTGGGTGAACATGACGTGGCAATGTTCCCCCGAAGTGGGGACGTCACTCATAAACTGGAGACGAAAGAGAAAACAGTATCCCTTGTAATTTTTACAAGAAGATATCACGCCATTTTTTCTTACTAAGTTCTTTATAAATTTCCAAGAGGTTTTTTTTAACGAACGTGTTATTTTGTTTCCCACAGCGCCGCATCGGTTCCGCTGACGCGTTGCGCGAGAACCTGACGCCTTTCCTGAACGTAGCTCAAAGCATAGAAGATGACGCACTCAAGGACCTGTATGCGGACGGGGAGAGTCCCGGCCAGGGTCTGCGCCGCGTGCGCCAACTCACGCCCGTTCTTCCCAAGCTCATCTTCATGGCGCGGTGGCAGGTACATGGCTCACCTTAAGGAGGCTCTTACGATGATGTTAAGAGCACTTTGTAAAAACATTTTTTTGATGTAAAAGGATCAAGATTTTATGATTTCTGCATTAAAACCCTTTTAGATAATTGAATAAGCTTTATTGACATAAAGCAAAGTGACTATGGACAATTTTTGGAAATTTTGTAGAAACGTTTAAAATTATGGTTCTCGTAAGATTTTGGTCGCATAGGGGTAGGTTGGGGAAGAAAAGTACAAAACGCGTACTTTGCAGTGCACAGAAGTTTCAAATGAGGATTCAACTATTCTGCTCTCGTGAACTTGTAATCCAATGCCTTCCTAATGAAATGGATCACTGTTCATTGATTATAGTTCCCTACATTACGTACAACATGCCAAAATGTATGTGATGTTGGAACTCCTCGAAAAGGGTAAGAAAAGTACACCACCGGGAAAGAAAAGTACAACGAAAAGAATTGCGATTTCGAACCAGGAGACCACCAATCTTGGCTCAATACAGGTTTAGCCATAAAGTGGAGAGCTTTCACTTGCCATTAGTTCAAGTTTCGTCAAAATCGGTCAATTGGTTCTGATTCTACATGGACTCATCACAGAAGGTCCAAAAAGCCTTTTCTCAAAGATAAGTGGTTACATCATTTTTGTGCTTTTCTTCCCCTTTTCACGTAAATGCCCAATAACTTGTTTATTTCTAGTCTAATTCTATAACTTGTGTTGACATTTTTTGCTTGTCTCGCCTAATCAAATCTATTCCCGTGATCAATTCAATTTTCATCCCGCTTTTAGTTTCTTAGAGGGTGTTTTTTTCTTCCCCAGTGCCTGTACTTTTCTTCCCCAGCCGACTGTACTTTTCTTCCCCATTTCATTTTTACACTTATAAAAAATTGTGTTGAAGCCTAAGAGCATCGAACGGCACTGTTTTTCAAAGATGATGGTCTAAGCTATAAGGTGGTACCTTACATTGGACTGTCGGCTGATTCCGCAGGAAGCTGTACTTCAAAGTACAAACATTTAAAAAAAAGATTTTCATAAGGGAGTATGGGGCGATTTGTAACAGGGGCGATTCGTAACAAATGCGTTTATTAATTTAAGTGGAGGGAGCAGAGGAAAATCTGAGTATGGCCCCTCTTTCGCTTCAAGTAGAGAGTCCTTGAACAATCGAAGCGGATGTGATCGGTGCTCAGGTATAGTTTTGGAGGGCGTCTGAAATATAGGGTGCACCGAAAACAGGCAAATCTTTTATTTTGAGTTCAAGGAAGTTTCTGTCTGAGGCTGCCCAGGTATGAATCACCATCGAAGTACCGTTGAGGCCTCGAAGCGTGACCCCTTTACAATGTTACCACGTGGCATAAGTTGCTTTTACTTTGTCCAGTGATAGTTAGGGACGTATTTCTTGCGTAGCCGGCATTTGGGGTGATTCGTAACAGACCCGTATAAAAACAAGAATTTAAGTAGTTTTTGCAATAAAATGCTTGAATTTTTTCTCGTATCATCTGCTGCCTAATTCCAATACATTTACACAGTTCAAAATGCATTTTAAAGCGAGTTATTCTATTCTTTCCTCCAAAATTGAAAAAAGTGAGGTTAGGGTTGACATAGCCGGTCAGTTAATGCTGAGGCGGTCAACGGCAGCTTGTAATGCAGATTTTAAGGCGTCTGCAGGACATCCGAAGAACATCTGCTGGAGGAGATAACATTCCCGACGATGTTTCATTTAATGTGTAGGATGTCATGAAAAGCCCCATGGCTGTTACAAATCACCCCATGCTGGGGCGATTCGTAACAGCTCGCAAGGGTTTGGAAAGCGTCTTAGATTTCAAAGATAACGGATTCCAGATTGATCCAATGGAGCTGCACAGTCTAGATGAAGGGCCAGACTGCTCAACTGGCACAAGTTTGACAGCGATATCCAGAATGTTCTTAATTTTGTATAGAGGATTCCAAAATCTGTTACAAATCGCCCCATACTCCCTTAGTTATTTTTAATGTTTTTTTCAAACGTTCAGTTTGATTCTAAATATTATATGTAGAACTGGGCTAAATTTATTTTTTGTCAGCGGGATGACCAATCTTTCTAAAACCACTAACGTGATGGTTTAGTGTAGTTTCAGTTCGGAGATATAACGGGTGTACTTTTCTTACTCGAGCCTCAAGTGTACTTTTCTTACCCAACCTACCCCTACCTGTTCAGATCTGGGGGGGGGGGAATCAGGGAGACTCATCCCTAGTCGTGTCATAGAACTGACTAGAATGGGGCTTTCAATCTGCAATAATGACAGTCTTGTAAAAATGGTTGCGCAGGCCCCGCTCGTCTCAGTGGTGTTGACGCTCCTGTTCGAGATTGGAGGCCGCCACATAGTGCCTCATTGGCCCAACGGCCAGGGTCGCGACCTGGTCGAGCACTGCACGGTGGTGCTTCACATCAGCCTCATCGCCTACGCCGGGAGGGTATTTTTGGTCAGTAACCTATTCAGAAAGAGTAATCACAAGAAGAGAAAAGTCTAATAGACTAAATCTGAACTTATTTTCTCGGTTACCACTTTTAGAGGTTGACTCTTTTAGTCTGCAAACTTTTCTTGGTCAATGCAGTTGAGATGAATGTGACTCTAAAAATGCTGTGGAAGAGGTCACATTCAGTGCAATTGGGACCTAAAAGTTAAAATTTTAAAAACAGTAAATAACTGCGACATTCTTTGGTTGGGGCAAGCGCAGCGCCCCGTTCAGATTCTTGACAGCTCGAGGCCAGAGGTGCGCCCCTCTCCCCTGTACACGGAATGACGACATCACTGCAAAGCCGGTGGTAAGTTTAATTGCCACAAATTTGGCAAGCCGTTTTGAATGCAAAAAAATGGCAAGCTTAGCCTGGGAATACCCCCCAGCTTGCCAAAATGCGGCAAGCTTGTGAAGATTTCTGACCATAGCTTGCCAAATTTTGGCATTCAAAACGGCTTGCCAAATTTCTGGCAAGTAAACTCATCACTGGCGTTGCAGTGATGAGGCTTTTTTGTCTGAATGGTTAAATTTGAAGCATATCAGCCGGGATACAAAGTTTTGTCCACCACGGGTGATACAAATTGTCCGATGCGATGCCTCATGCAATTCACTATGAGCAAAATCAACTAAGACGGGCCACTTCTTCCGGTGACCCTCTCCGATTTGCCTGATTTTTTGTAGGCTTAATAACTACCTAAAGGAGAGTCTAAAGCCAAAATATTAGGTCCGGCAAAAATTTATTGACCGAGATATGGCCAACTTAAGTTTAACTTTTGCAGGAAAAACACAAATTTGGGTATTTTGGACTAATTTTACACTTTTCATAGTAGAGGGCTAAAATTTGGTCACCTTATGTAAAATTGACCAAGGAACAAGAATATGACCTCAGATTTGACCTCCGACGAATACCTGCAGAGTAAACCCCCCAAAACACCTTCAAAACACCTAAAAAAACAGTTTTTTCTTGGGGTTTCTGGGAAAAATATGTGGACAAAAACTTCTGATGATCTTATCTTGTAGAAAATGACGCGATGAATCGAATGAGACCACGCGCAGATTTTTATGTCAAACCGTTTAGGAGATATAGCGGATCAAAGTATGCAAATTTTGCCATTTATTCTTTAAAAAATGGAGGTTTTGAGCATAGTTTGACGTTATCTGCCTTCTTGGTGTGTGTGGGTGATCCTATCTTGTAGAAAAAGACGCGCTGAATCGATTGAGACCACGCACAGAGTTGTATCTCAAATCGTTTAGGAGATATAGTGGTTTAAAGTATGGGCACGGTAGTCCGCCCGCCCAACAGGCGTGTTTGGCGGGCCTGCCTTGTCGGGTGTTTACAGGAGCTCTCCCGTGCCCACACTTTAAACCACTATATCTCCTAAACGGTTTGAGATACAACTCTGTGCGTGGTCTCAATCGATTCAGCGCGTCTTTTTCTACAAGATAGGATCACCCACACACACCAAGAAGGCAGATAACGTCAAACTATGCTCAAAACCTCCATTTTTTAAAGAATAAATGGCAAAATTTGCATACTTTGATCCGCTATATCTCCTAAACGGTTTGACATAAAAATCTGCGCGTGGTCTCATTCGATTCATCGCGTCATTTTCTACAAGATAAGATCATCAGAAGTTTTTGTCCACATATTTTTCCCAGAAACCCCAAGAAAAAACTGTTTTTTTAGGTGTTTTGAAGGTGTTTTGGGGGGTTTACTCTGCAGGTATTCGTCGGAGGTCAAATCTGAGGTCATATTCTTGTTCCTTGGTCAATTTTACATAAGGTGACCAAATTTTAGCCCTCTACTATGAAAAGTGTAAAATTAGTCCAAAATACCCAAATTTGTGTTTTTCCTCCAAAAGTTAAACTTAAGTTGGCCATATCTCGGTCAATAAATTTTTGCCGGACCTAATATTTTGGCTTTAGACTCTCCTTTAGGTAGTTATTAAGCCTACAAAAAATCAGGCAAATCGGAGAGGGTCACCGGAAGAAGTGGCCCGTCTTAGTTGATTTTGCTCTATTTCATTGAACAATTTGTATCACCTTTGACTGCAAAATTGCATCACCGATGTGCTTAAAATTGCACCATTCATGGGTTAAAAAAAGTCCCACGGCATTCGGTGTGCAATTACTCACTCTAAATGTCTTACGAAGAAATTTCCCATAATACGAACGAATACGAAGGAAATGGCGCAAGCATAATACGAAGGTGGTTCTTCTTCGTATTACGAAGGTTTTTCTTTGTATCATACAATGAAAAAGCTAAAAAGATTCGTATTACGAAGGAATATTGCTTCGTATTATGCTTGCGCCAAATTCACTGTAACATACGAATAACATAGGTCAAATTTCATTGTAAGACATTTAGAGTGCTGTACGATTGAACTTACTGTCGTCGTCTGAAGGTGACTTGCGCCATGCAGTGGATGTCCTCGCTGTGCATGGACTGCTGCCTCCGGTTGCTCGCCGACCGCGCGGCCAGAGCGCCCACGTGGCACCAGCTGGCCCAGACTGTCCGCCAGCACCACAACCTGCTGACCGGCTTCAACAGAATACAAGTGAGGTTTCACTTCAAACTTAACTGCCTACTTGGTCACTTACAAATGCGTACTCGCAAGTGGACACCTTCACCTCCATGCTAGCTAGTAGCCCCGCATACTTCGAGGGGTCCTATTCAAAAGATCTTATCTGCGCGTTCCCCCCAAGACAATCTTATCTTAAACGCAGGCGAATTTCACTCAGTTTGATCATTTAATATACAGCTACAAATTAAAATCATTTGTGACAAAATTCTTTGAAATGTTAAGATGAAAGGTCAAAGAAACCAACAGTGCATGTAAAAATATATTCCGCTTACTCTCGTACCTGTCCCAAATGGTCAAACTGTCTGAAATTCACCTGCGTTTAAGATAAGATTGTCTTGGGGGGGGAACGCGCAGATAAGATCTTTTGAATAGGACCCCTCGACTTACTAGTAGATGTGGTATTGGCCAGGTATCAGGGTGGTTAACGTTACTTTTCAGCTATTTTGCGCGATTTAATTTGAAAAATTTGCCAAAAATATTTCTTCTGGTATTATTTTGATGTTTATGTTACAAAAGACTCTCAAGAGTTCAAATAGTCTAGAAAAAATTTTGGTTCGATAAAATGCGTGAAAGGGTGCCCTAGGGGGACGAGAACCCGAAAGTAACGAGTAACGAGTTACTCGTTTCTCTACGTTTGGGTTCTCGTTCTCCTAGGGCCAACACTTTGACAAATTCCAGCGAACCAAAAATTTTTCTAGAATATTTGAACTTTTAAGAGTATTTTGCAACAAAGACATTGAAATAATACCACAAAAAATATTTTTGGTGCAGTTTTAAGGGGGCTCATACATGTTAAAAGCACTTTTTAAAAAAAAAAATTTGATGTAGATGGATTAAGATTTTACAATTTCTGTGTTAAAATCCTTTTAGATAATTTAGTAAGCTTCATTTTGGCTTAAGGGAAAGTGACTTTGGACATTTTTTGGAGATTTAGTCGAAACGTTTAAAATTTTGCTTCTCGTAAGATTTTGTTCGCATACTTGCTCAGATCTGTGGGGAAAAAATCAGGGAACTCATCCCCAGTAGCGTCATAGAATGACTAGAATGGGTTTACATGTGCAATAGTTTTCAAGAAAAAAATAAAAAATTTTTTTTAACAATTTTTAAACAAATTTTTCAACAAAAAATTGTTTTTATTTTTTTTCTTGAAAACTATTGCAGATATAAAGCCCATGCTAGTCAATCTTATGACACTACGGGGATGAGTCTCCCTGATTTTTCCCCACAGATCTGAGCAAGTATGCGAACAAAATCTTACGAGAAGCAAAATTTTAACCGTTTGACTAAATCTCCAAAAAATTGTCCAAAGTCACTTTCCCTTAAGCCAAAATGAAGCTTACTCAATTATCTAAAGGATTTTAACACAGAAATTGTAAAATCTTAATCCGTCTACATCAAAATTTTTTTTTAAAAAAGTGCTTTTAACATGTATGAGCCCCTTTAAAAGATATGTGTGCAATTTTATTGAAAAGCAACGTTAACAACCCTGCCGCATACACGCGCTTGTGTGTACTTAGTAGACAAGTAGGTTTTTGTAGTTTTCTGCTTAAACGTAAGAGTGTGCATGAAATGCTCCCCCTGGGAGTCAACCACAAAGCACGCTTTATCCAGAAAAGTGCTTGCAAGCACGCTCTACTCAGGAGCATCCTTGGTAAGCACGCCCTGAAGCAACACTCAAAAAGGAAGATTCTCTAGTATGAATCTCTAGATGAAATAATGGCGGTGCAGCTGACTTTATAAGATACCCATTGAGCATTCACTGTACATTTTTTGATATTTTGACGAATTTCGTTTGTATTATGGGGAAAACATTCACCATAATTAGCCTTTCACCGTGAGACATTTAGAGCCAACATTCTGTATGTGGTAACAGAAGTACTTCAGCGAGGACTTGTCGCTGGTCGTGCGACTGATGCTCTTCCTGGGGCTCATCGGCGCCCTGCGGATCGCGTTCGGCGTCCAGGACATCAACAACATGGTCATCATGGGCATCGTGTACTCGTACGTGGCCACCATCTGCGTGGCCGGCGAGCTCCAGGCAAGGGCAAATCCGAGGGGGCAACCACTCTAGAAATCTTGTGTCTCCTTAGCGCTAGAAATCTCTGAGAGATCTGAGATCTTTCCCCAAACAGGCTAAAAACATGCTAATTTTAGGCGGAATATCGGTGAAAATCTTGCGAAATCCGACGGAATCTTTAACCTTAAGAAATCTTGTGTCCCCAAACATCCAATGTGGTTGCCCCCTCGGGCAAATCACTTTGAATTTCGGTGTACAAATCCAATGAATTGCAGTCGAATTTCGATGAATTTCAGGCAAACACAACTGAATTTTCAGAAGAATTTCGATGAATTTCAATGAATTTCAGTAAATTTTACACTCTCATTCCAGGAACGTGACATCACGTTGAAACGAACGTGACAAAATGTCACGTTCGTTTGAGCATTGTGTCACATTTGTTTGGGTGTGAATTGGTCTAAAATCAGCTTGTTCACATTCAAACGAACGTGACACAATGCTCAAACGAACGCGACACTTTGTCACGTTCGTTTCAACGTGATGTCACGTTCCTGGAATGAGAGTGTAAACGTTTGATGAATTTTGGTGTACGAATTTGGCTGGAGTTATTTCCCCTTGGCTGCAGGAGATCGCGGGGGACACGTTCCACTCGGCGGTGTGCTCGTGCCCGTGGGAAGGCTGGCCCGTGGAGGACCGCCGGAGCTACGTCATGCTCGTGGCGCGCACCCTCAGGCCGCCGCAGGTTGGTGTCGTTCACAGTGGGTTTGCCAGAAGACCGGTGAGGGCGCGGTCAAAATCCCGGACACGTTTTGAGCTCTAAAGTCGCTAAAGAGTACTCGAAGTTGTCCACTTAAGAGCGGAACCTTGCGTAAGCCGCACCGACTGCGGATTTCTGAATGAAATGAATGCCTTTTCGGCATGCCTCTCGCACTTCACCCGGACAGTGTACACCCCTGACTCCAGACTGTGAAACCAAGTATGGAGAACTGAACACTTCATGGTGTGGAAAAATTCTCCACTCTTGGACGTGTAGAGTTCACAGTCTCCATATTTCAAGCGCATGGCAGCTCAAAGAGCCCTCACAGCAGACGTGCGGACAACTCCACAATTGAAGCATTTCAAGGGTTTCACACTCAGTGCCACTCCAAGTGTGGACCAAGTCCATGCTTCCTTGAGTGGACCAGTTTAGTCCAGGGGTCTCCAACTCAGGCCCGGCGGGCCATTTGGCCCGGCTGGGCCCGCGGGCCCGAGCCCGGGCCAGCGCTACTGCTGCCTCCGCTACTCGCCGCTCTTCCCCCACTCCCGATCTCAGAGCGCTTTGCTGCTGTGCAGCCGTCCCCCACTCCACCCGCCAGTACCCCCACTCCGCTACCTACTACCTGTCTCTCTCGCTCCGGTCGCACAGGGCGGGCCACAGCGTGCCCGGCTTGGCCCGCTTGGCCCGCGGGCCAGCTGCGGGCCAACGAGTTGGAGACCCCTGGTTTAGTCCTATGATTCATAGTTTGGTCCGTGTAATTTTTCAGCACAGTCTGTGCACAGTCCGAAGCGTGGACCAAACTGTGGTCCACGCAAGGAAGCGTGGACTTGGTCCATACTTGCTTTGGCAGTCCATTCTTGTCACTACCGCGTAGATTTGTCCCTTTTTGCAGCAATTTTGTAGCGATTTTGACGAGATTTCGAACCGAATCAAGTAAGGATTTCAGTCGGTCCCTAGTCAGTGTACACCTACGTTCAGAGTGAGGATGTGCCCCTCGAGCGATAACCAGAGAAGCCTCATTTCTTCGAATGGATCAGGTGGCGCTACGCTTCTTCACTCGCAACACAAACAAGGGCATTAGTTTTATGCTCTCCGAACGGGGCATCCATTGGTGGGGTGGGTCAAAGTTTCGGTTCGAGCGACCCTGGAGCTCAAAAAGCGTCTGGACTTTTGGCCGTCTCTACCGGTCCTCTGGCCCACACGGTTAAAACGGTTCCTGGTTTTCCCAGGAAGCCAATGGTAAAGACATAGGCGATTTCCCGGCAGTTCCTGCACTCAAGACTCCTTACGGACACCACGTATCCGCAATACGGACGGTTTTGTGCAAGCGTAATTACGGATGGATTTTGTTGTAATACGGATGATTTTATCCGTAATACAAAGGTTTTCGTGTCCGTAACATACAGACGAAAATATCCGTATGGTACAGACGTAAAACTCTTTGTAATACGGATGATTTCATCCGTATTACAAGCAAAATCTATCCGTAATTGCAATTGCACAAAAATGTCCGTAATACAGATAGGATGTATCCGTAAGAAGTTTAGTGTGTGGGAAACCAGGAACCGTTTTCACCGTGCGCTGTGCGACTTGAGGCTTTGAAACATGGTGGTTTTTGTTTTGCCAGGTGCGGTTTCGGTATTTCGGGGCTATGAGACTGGACACTTTGTCGAAGATCTTCAACAACTTGTTCAAGTACGTGCAAGTGATGCGCGCCGGCTTCAGTGAAGACGCGTGGAGTGAGTGACGAGCACCTGGGCGATACCGATCTTCCTCGAAAACCTCATCCAGCTAAGATGCGGACTCGAAGATGACACTCTTATCAGTCACACTGGCCTCGCAGCAGCGTAGTGGCCACGGTGTACTTAACGCGTTTCTACGTCGTGGTTGGGGCAGCCCGCTGCACAGAGGGTTGGCAGATATGGCCAAAACACCAGACGCGTTTCGAGCTCCATAGTCGCTAACTGGGACTCGGACCGAGCGTGTGACCCCATCGATGGATTCCTCGTTCAGAGAGCAATTCATTGCTGGGGTAACACTTAGCGACTCTGGAGCTCAAAACGCCTCCGGGATTTTGACCGACTCCACAGGTCTTCTGGCCCACTGTGCGCCGACTGTCCGGACTCAGTTCAGCCAAACTCGATTCTTGTCACTGGCATCTGTCGGGACTTTCTTGCACTCCCATGGCCCCATTGTAAATAATATTAAATAATAAACCGTTTGATAAACTCGTTTGGTACTCACTTGCAACTCCTTCCACACAGTAAAAAAATTGATGGCCGTTTCACGATAATATCATGGATGGCCTAGTGTGGGTGACGACGATAAAACTGGAGGATTTGGAATGTCTCTCAAGAAAGTTAACCAGACCGCACCAAACCGCTGTGGTCACCATAGGGAGTTCTGGGAATCGTTCTGATGAGTGATTGTGGAGCGCATGCGTGATCGATCGCTTGAAGCATTCTAACACGACCCCTTTATCAGAAACCGATGACATTGCCCTGAAGTGTCAACCAAAGTGTTAACTTAACATTGCAGATGCAGGAGCCACCTTCCATGACTGCAGTACAGTGTAGTACGATATTTCTTCGTCGGTTTTGGGGTGAAAGTTGCATTTATAGAAAAAAACTAAGCTAGGCCACTGAAGGACTGAATGTGGGAAACTCCGCAGTGTCTTTGACCTGGACTGATGTTGTCATCATTCCCCATTCCCTTTAAGTTCCCGGCAGTTCTCTTTTCTCCTGAGTCTACCACATTCTAGCATCTGTAACTGCTCTCTTTTGTTTCCTTAAAATTTTTGTCACTCGCGCCTTATTCATTTCCTCGTTTGCTCATATGTAGTAGATTTCCATAGCTTAGGTGGGAGTGGATTACTGCTTGATAGACTTTGAAGACATCCTTTTTATTTAAAGTTTGTGATACTTGCGAAATTATGAAATGACCGCTATTACGTTTCCTTGTTACACTGACAAAAATTTTGTCGTAACTTAGCGACACATTTATCGCCAATTTTTTTAGCGACAAGATTTGTTGTGGAACGAATAGCTTGTTAAACCAAACTCGTACTGGAACTAAAGGGTAATTTCACAACGTAGCAGTCTACTTTCAAATACAAGTTGTTGACCAACAACAAATGTTGTTGGTCAACGACAAGTCTTGTAAGTCAAAAAAAAATTTGTAATGTCTGGGACAAGTATTCATGGAGTACTTTTGTCGCTAAATTTATTTTGCCTAATTCTTTTTTAAATAATAGTAATGTTGCTATGACTAAAGAAGACCAATAGATGATTATTCATAATATGCTTTAATTGAGCAGATAATTGCAAAAGATTTTGTTTCCATACAAATAGTATCGTTAAGGGTGATAACAAGAATTTTGTTCTTCAACGACAAATTGTCGCTTACAAGATTCAACGACATTTCTTTCGCTTTGGTTCATGATAAAATTCTTTGTTTTGGAACGACTTAATTTTCACTCATCTGATTGTTCTTTTATTCTAGGTGCTAAAATATTTTGTTCAAAGTCTCACTTTCACATCAACATGATTTCACAGCACAAGACCTTTAGATTGGCCTGGCCACCTCAAGGTGTCTGAAAGTGCCATAGGGTGGCCAGGGCAGCCCTGTGTCACTAGGTGCCCCTGTCACTGTGCCCCACCACCCTCCCTTACTCTGTGTCGCATTTAAGATCATCCCGTATTTCTATTCTTGTTTCGTGACTCTCGAGCTTAAAAACTTTGGCCACCTCCACCGGTCTTCTGGCCCACTGCGCCACGTGACCAAGGTGCGGAGTGCGTTGTTCGGACGAGGAAACGCGGTATCTCTCATCTCAGCAAAACAATCGCCAGCTCTCCGCCGAAATCAAAAAGAATGGGGCTCTGATAAGCTCAAGCCGATCGACCATCGTCTCGTGAGGAGTCCTGTGCTGCACGTTTCGGTTCTCGGGCGTATCTGGCCACTCGAACGTCGCCCGGATCTGGATCTGATATCTGTTTAGTCTATCAAGTGCGCGAATGGAAGTGGCTGTCAGATTTGATTGACTGATCTGCTGAGTCGTAACAGGAGAAAGGTCTATCAATCCCGGATCTACTGGCGTCGCATGTCGCGAACTAAATCAGGAACTGAGATACGATTGACCCGGATGCAGAGGCATGCATTTAAAACAGCCGACTATCATTTTAATAAATCTTCAGTAGAATGGCAACATTTGATCCAGAAAACGGAAGAAGGGAATAATTCGACTTATCTTCAACTTCAAATTGAGTTTTTATCTTATAATTGTGCCTCAGGATGGTTTGCATCATAGCAC